GAAGGACCATCACGAAGAAGGTAGCGACAGCTGCTTTGTTGCATACAGGAAGAATCCGCCTGTCTCCTTATGGAGCAGAAACTCTTTGGAGATGCTGAGTGACTCAAAAGCCATATGGGGCCAAGCTATTTCTGTCCCTCTGCAGAAGGGGGGGGGGGCAAGGCCAAGTCAGGACAGCCACAGATAACAGAAGGTGGGGGAGGACTTCCTTCCCTCCAAACCAGGCCTCTGCACTGTTCCAGAGACATCCAGCCGTTCGTAAGGAGATACTTAGTGCTCCACTGGTCAAACCTAGAAGGTAACCTGAGGTCACTTACTTGCATGGCATATATGCACTAACAAAGCACATCTGCTGTGGCAAGGCAAGGGTTAACAGATCTCTCCCCTCTCTCACCCAAACAAGCCCTTGGAAGGTAAAGATTTAACCAGGAGAGCTCCTTGGCTTTTTCCAGGGAGGCCTTTTTTGTTAGTGGCAGCTGCATTCCACTCTTGGCTTTTAAGTGGAGGTGGGGCAACCACTACAAAGAAGGTGCTTGACCTGACTATGCATATTTGCCCCCCAGCATTGGAGCAAGACAAGATTTTGATTAAGTCAACACCAGTTTTACTAAGAGCTTACCATATGCAAATTTTGACAGAGAAAGAATCCTAAAACATCCAGCATTCCCCAGCCCACTATTGTAGGGCTTTTTTTCTGTCTATAAGCTTGTACAGGGTTGCACCCTAAGCCACACAAAGCAAGATTTAGGGAATATAGAAATGGAATGTATTCCTTTTAGTGGCAGTAATTTTTAAAAGTAAAAAAGGAGAAGGGATTACAGGACTTGTTGTAGGACAAAATAAATGCTTCATTTTCCAATTGTAGAATGCCTTTTCTGACCTTTGGGAACTTGGTGCCCTCACTTCTGCCAGTAGAAAAGCTGTACCTAGTAGCTTCAATCAACTAGACTGAGCATACTCACATTTACATCACCATGAGATGCATATTGCTTTTATGCATCTGTGCACTGAAAAATGTAGAAACAAAGACTGCACCTGCACAGACTTTTGCAAGAAAATACTTTTGCATGAAGTGGAACATACTGGCAAGTAAACATTTATTGTCATACTTTAGACACCCCCTCCTTTCTTCCAAAAGGCTTGCAGAGATGCTTATAAAGTAAAAACATAATAAAATAGAAATATAACAGCATACAGGTTTTAAAAACCTATCAGAGACAAGAACAGTAACATTAGATTGCAAAAATACAGCAGTAAACCAGTGAAGCAAAAATAATTTAAAATAACGGGCCTGAGAAAAAGGAGCCATCTTTACAAAATGTCGCTAAGCCTATGGTGTGGTGGTCAGACAGATTTCTGGAGGAAGGGAGTGCCATAAGCCAGGTGCAATCCTACTACTTATGAGAATTGCACGATATAAGGGTTTCACGTGTAAGGTTTGGCCCTGCCTTTAAATGATTAGTTGCTGCAGGCATCCGTTACCAGCTGCAGTGCCATTTTCCTGCACTTCTGCTTCATCCTTCGCTTTGCATGCATAAATGCATAAGGCCCTCACACTGCGTAGAACTTTGCTACCAGTTGTGGCTTTCAAACTCGATGCTTCCCATAACTGCTTGGATCTAGTCTGTGCTCTGCCTGCATCTTCATATTAAGTGAAATGGTGCATGCACTCCTCTGCTGCTGCTTTTACACCAAAATGTTTGGAGGAAAAGAGCAAGGGGGGTTGTTTAACCCTTCCTATTTTTCTCCTTGTATCATTCCCCACCATGGTGGTAATTTTAAGCTGGAAAAAGATAGAAGGGGGATGCTTGTATCACTCCTTCTCCCTCTTCATCTTTTACTCAGGGTGCTTCCAGGTGAGGCTTTTTGTGTGGTTATTATTCTGCTTCAGGCAAATAAGTGGAAAGAAAGGAGAGACAGAATAACTGCATGTCTTTCACTGGTCCTGCCAAGAATCGCCCATCTGGAAACACCCTCAGATGCAACCTGCCTCAGGCAGCTGTAGGATTTTTTTTTTTTAAGGGGAAAAGCAGGGAAGCAAGCACAGTGTGTAATTTGAGCATGCAACCAATCATCTATCAGTAACACATTTGCCTCTGTTGCAGGAGGGGGTGTCTCCTTTGTTTTTGCAAATACAGGGTTAAAGAGAAAACTTTTATGTGTGTAGCTGTATGAGAACTGCTCCTAGGTAAGAGAGCAAGAAGGAACCAGACCAGGGATGAGTGTTTGAGCTGCATCTTGAAAGGATCATCCTTAGATAAGGTATGAATGGAGGGAGGAAAATTCTCAACCTCAGGAAGGGAGGGGACACACAATAAAGTTGTCAGAGGATGATGTAAACCATGGGTCCTCAAACTGCGGCCCGTGGGGTGGATCTGGCCTGCCATAGCCATCCATCCGGCCTGCACTGCTGCTCGTGTTCTTGCTGCTCAGGCAGGGAGGTGGTGGCTTGCTTGCTCCAAGATGGTTTTGGACTCGCTGGGAGATCTCCAAGCAAGTGAGCCACCACCATGCGTGTCCAATGCCACCTCACCAGCTCGCACCCCCAGGCACCCCCACCTCAACCACCCTGCGACGGTCACCGCAGCCTTTCAACTGGCCCCCTATTCAGGACTGCTGATGTAAACTGTAAAAGCATTGTTCTAATTGTGTACTGCGCAGTTCCTAGGAGTTCCGCCTTACACTTGCAATAATTTGTTGATTGTCTTGCTCTCACTCTGTTCTTAATAAATATTGCTGGCTTGATTTTCCCCATTTTGGACCCTTTTCTTGAAGGATCTGTCACATCCAAGATGAGTGACAAGCAGGAGCAAGAAAATGAAACTCCTGCAGTCTGAGCTGAATGTGCACTGAGCTGGGGAAACAGAAATTTACTCATCGGTCACAGTTCCAAAAGTATGAGAGGACAGAATGTAACTTGAACAAGCAGCTAGTATTAAGTGCTCTGAAATAAACATGTTTTTCTAATAGCTCTCCTGATGATAAAGGACGTTGCAAGGGAAACACCAGCAGAACCCAGTTGCAGAATGGAAGTAGAGGATGTCATTCATAAGGCCTTGGACCTGTATGAGGAAGCAGACAAGCTCTGCAGTAGCTTCACAGAGAAGATTCAAGCTAATCTGAAAGCTTTAAAGTCATGTCAGGAGGATGTGACCAAGTGATTCAAGGAGCTGCATGACTTATTGTATAATAAGGAGTCATCTGTTGTGGCCAGAATAAACCAAGAAAATACTCTGTACTTCCTGGAAAACAGGTTGATCAGTGTGGCTCCATTCTGTAGTTCATAGACCCCTTCAGCAAGGCCAGTGATACCAAAGGAAACTTAATGGAGGTGACCAAGAGCCAGTTGGTGCAACTAAACTGACAGCTAGCCATGTGTAGCAAGGAGACAAAGTTTTGCAGACCAGATACGCTATGTAGCCCTCTCCTGAAGTATGTCATTTGCAGGCAGCTGCTAAAGAACAGGCCACGTTCTGCACTGGAGAAACTCACCCTTGATAAATTCTATGGGCCCCATTCCACCACAAATATCCTTGAAAGAATGCAACTTTCAGTTAAAGAGAAGGGATCTGGCTTTCCCCATCTGTCCAATATCATTAGGCCCTTTTGTTGATTTCTACTAAATATTGATCTTTTCTGCTCAGATTGAACTATTGGATGACACAGCATCTTTTCAATAAGACTTTAATTCATGGGTCCTCAAACTACAGCCTGTGGGCCAGATCCGGCCCGCCATGCCCATTTGGATCTCCTGCAACTGCCACCACCGCTGCCTCGTGTGCCCGCCTTGCAGTGCGTGTGCCCGTGCCTCGCCTCGACCTCGGCGCACGCACTGCCCCTGCCCGCGCACACCGCCAGCACCACCTTCCCGGCCCTTGTCCAGCACTGGCACCTTTCAAGTGGCCCCCTGGTGAAAAAGTTTGAGGACCCCTGGTTTAATTCAATCAACTCATCATTGGAGGCTCAAGCCATCTAAAGCTTTTCTTACCCATATGTTTTGGCAATGTCCAATGGCTGCTTCCTTTTAGGAGAAAGTAACAATCTGGACAAATTTTGTGATAGACAGTTCTTTAACATTCATTGATGCACCTAGTCTTCTTAATATCTACTTGGCTCCTGGAACTTACTGCAAGCTCAACACGACTGGAAATTCTGCACACTTTTGATATCTAAGACTAGTTGTAAGCCGCCCCGAGGCTTCGGCGAATGGGGCGGCATAAAAATGTTTTAATAAATAAATAAATAATAGTACAGTACAATACTAGAAGGACAAATGACCAATTGCAATAAGACAATGGCTGGCGGACTTGATGGAACTCTGCTTTGGAACTGTTGTTTTTTAGGCATCATTTATGAATGGGCACATCCATGGATATCTGAGCTGCCTTTGTTGAATTCTATGCATAATTTAATAATACTAGTATACTTACCACACATGAAACCTACAGGAGTACATATATACACAATGTAATAGATTCTATTAGATATAATAGAGAGATGGATAATGTTAACCGCCTTGGGGTCCCTGGAGGAAAAAAGGGCGAGAGAAATAACATAAATATCCGGTCCTACTAAAGGAAAGGGAGCGCCTTTGAAGCAATTCTGAATTGTGTGCGTGGCATGGGGCTGACGGAGGGGCTCTTCCACGTCGGCGATGTGCAGCAGAGAGAAGAGGAGGGAGCGGGCGAGCGACAAAGGAAAACCATGGCTTTGCGCCGGCACCAGTGAAACCCGCCGTGTCTGCAAACGGAAAAATTATTTGGCGAGCCTCCTGCTATAGCGGCCTATATAAAGGCTGCGCTTCCCCCTCAAAGCCGACTGAGGGCGCCAAAACGTAGCGCGGGGTGGGGCGAAGAGAGAAGACCGCGGGAGACGAATGAAGAACGTCTAGCCGCCCTCTTCACGTGATCGGGGCGCGACGGGAGGTCTGCAGGTCGTCCCTGCCGCCATGGGTGAAACCGGAAGCTTTTCCTAGCACGTGATGCTGTAGGTAACGGAAGTGAAGTTCCATTCCCGACGTTGCGGCCGGGCCGAGTGAAAGAGAAATAAGGGTTTGGAAGGGGCTGGCTGGCTTAGAGGCGGCGCCATGAGCGACGGGGCTGGGGAGCCGGCAGCGGAGGCCCCGCCCGTTACCGGAAAAGGGGTCCGAATCATGGTGGAATACTGGTGAGAGAAAGGAGGAAGACGAAGACGAGGAAGGCTTCTGCAGGAGAAGCCACGCCCACTCACGTTGTAGGCCACGCCCTCCTCTCTGGAGCCTGCCCCTTTTCTGGGTTGCGCGCTATGGCCCTCTGCAGGCGTGCGCGTAGTCTGCGGCGGGGCTCCTGGCTTCTCTTGGCTCTGCCCACGTTGAGAGTAAATCCCTCTATTTTCTAGCGCATATGGTCCCGAGTTGCGTTTTTGCCGCATTTTTGCCCCTAGCGAAGTAGGATTTGTTGCAGCCATTTATTCTGTTGATTGAAAGATGCGGTGCCTTATAGTGCAAACACGAAAAGGAGGACCAAGGAAGACCTAACATGAAGGAAGGCGCTGAAACCCTCAAGACTGGGCGGGAGGAGGATGAACAAACCGTAGTCGAACCTAGACAAAATAGTTAGTAGGAAGCCTTTCGTGGAGGTTAGGATTCAACTGGTATTGTAAGGAGTTGTGCTTCCCTTGAAGGATCAGGTCCTTAGCTTGGGAGTACTCGTTCCTCTCCTGCCCCTGGGTTTTAAGGTAGTGGTGACAAAGAGTGCATTTCCAGAATTATGCTTGGTACGCCAGCTGCAGGTCTTCTTGAATTGCAACAGTTACCTGTGCATCACGTTTAAACCATTGCAGTGTGTGTCGCATGAGAATGTCGGAAGAATGACCAGAAATTTTAGTTGGTACTAAATTCCATAACTAGGCAACTAACTGGCACATGGTAACAAGACCATATTCTGCCTCCCCTAAAAGATCTGCAATCAGTGCCTGTTGCTTTCTCAGGGTGATTGGGGTTTTTCTAAGGGATCGATCATGTAGCTCACTATGAACCTGCTGAAGATTAAGGATATGCAGGAGAAATGAAGAGATCCATTTGTTGGGCACATGCAAATAGGCTTTTTCCTGGTTTATCCCCAAACTATAGGATGTGCTCCCTCAAGAATTACAGTTGCCTCTCAGTCTCTTGACCTTTTGTAAAGGTATTAAGGTGCTTTTTTCAATGTAGCCTTTTAAATTGTGTAGTTTTTAATGTTTTTACTGTTCCCATTTTTATTGTTTATGACTGTACTACCTAGGTAGCTTTTTAACAGATAAAGCAGTATATAAATAAACAATGGCATTTCAAGAGAGCAAGAAAAAGTTTCCCTTTTGATTTTGGCCCTTTGCCCTGTGGTTTTACTCCTCTTTCTGGAGGTGCGGAGAAAAGGCAGAAACACTGAACCTGCAGATCAGACCTTACAGCCATACTTTATTCAATCCTGTTGGGTTAAGGAGACATGTTGCTTTTAGCACAGGGTCTCTGATCCCACAGAATGGGGGCTGGACTGAAGTGCATGTCTGTGTCCTCCTTAACGTCTTATCTGGTACAAACAAATCGGCCATTTCAGTGGTTGCTGTGGTTAAATGGTGACTTACTGGAAGCATTTTATTTCCAGAAGTTCCCTAGGAAATTCACATATTCAGTCATTCTCACCTCCTGTTTCCATTTGAAACCCTAACCAGATTTCTCTTCCCAGCAAACCTTGTGGCTTTGAGTCCGCCTACCTAGAATTGGCAAGTGCAGTAAAAGAAGAATATCCTGATGTGGAGATTGAATCCCGACTTGGGGGGACAGGTATGCTATCTGAGCAAGGTCTCATTCATAGCATGATATAAACACCTTGCTCAATGTTGCTGTGATGTCAACGTGAGGGATGTGAAATTTGCCGTACAGCAGGGGTGGAGAAATGCCAGGCTGTGGGTTGGATACGGGCCACTGAGTCCTTCGTCTGATCTTTTTCTGTAGCCTTAATTGCTGTGCAGCAGTTGGACTTGCAATGAAAGCTACCATTCATGCGAACATGCCTTTTTCTTTATCCCTGAGCCAAATTGCTGTAGGGGATATCTAGTGCTACCCTCTCTGCATGCTGTGATCTTTTCTGAGTTGCACCCCTTGCGGCAGTTAGGCTCCCATTTGCAAAATGGGGTGTGCAGGGGGGAGAGAGAGAGCAGTGGGGTAGGCAAGAAAATGGGGAAGAAAGAAGATGGGTGGCCCCCTGAGAGCTTCGGTGTCTGGCCCCTGACAGAGTCTTCCTCCTGCCCCACCAGGGAAGGCAGTCCTCTGTATGAAAAAGGTGCACCCTGACTAGTATTTTGAGTTCCTCATAAGAAAAGAGGTGGGCTGTAAATCATATAAATGGAAATAGGGGATGTTGCCACATCTGTAGGAATTTTGTTCTGTTAGTGCTGCTGTGTTCCTGTTACTGGTGGCAGTAGACCACTGGGTTTGCCTTTGAATGGTGGTTTCCAAACTTCCTTTCTTGAGGAAGCTTTTTCTGCATGGGCCTAGTCTGTGAAGGAACCCTTCACGTGCAACCTATGGATCCCCTGGGCTTTTACAGGGTTTCATTGTGCCTCTGGGAATACAGCCAGAGCTTCTTTCAGATTGCTGAGTTGCAGGGGGCACACTGTCTTTCAGATAACTCTGTTAGTCCCCCATTACTAATTTTTTCATGGAGGAAACCAAAGAACACAGGATGAAAGGACCTCCATCTGCTAGAATTGAGAAGGGAGGTAGGGAAGGGAGGCAGCAGGCAGAAAGGAGATGTTTTGCCATGTGGCTTGGGTTATCTCTGGGTGTGCAGTCTGCTTTTCAGGCTGGTGTCAAGGGTAGACATGCTTGGGCATCTGCTGAGAGCCCACACCTCAACATGGGCCACCGACAAGAGTCCCTTGGAGTTGCCCCGCCTCTTCACCATAGCAGCCTCCTTGTTCACTGGCCTGCCACTTTGGCTCAGCCAACAGCGGCTGTAAGAAAAGGGAGACTCGGAGGTGGGTGCACTGAGGGTGTTTTGCTCAAGCCCTCCCTGCGTAATCTGGAGTGGATACTGAGACCGCCACAGCTTAGTGCCATTACTGCCTTGTGGCATTGCCTAATCTTGATGTTACCGGCTGAGTTCTCTGATGCAGAAGAGGGAACAAAGTTGGCCTGGGTATGCTGGGGGTTGCTGTGATACCAAAGCTGGACTTGATGAGCCCAGGGCACTTCTGGTGCTGTGTTTCTCCTCGTAGCACATTGCCTTTCTTCTTTCAGGTGCTTTTGAAATAGAAATAAATGGGCAGCTGGTCTTCTCCAAACTCGAGAATGGAGGATTTCCGTATGAGAAAGATGTGCGTATTTCCCCTTGCATCCCTTGAGTCAGCAGCTGTCTGGGAGGGAGTTTGTGAATCTGAGTAATGGTCTCTCGGTGGCAATCTCCATTCTCAAGATGCCAGCAATTACTCCTTCCTTAGAAGTATCTTATTACACACAGATGTTTTTTAGTTTATGTGCATGTGGTCCAAAATGACAGCAAGAAAATGTATTTTCTTAACCTAGTCCAGGTTAAGAGGTTTTGTAACTTTTCCTTTTCTACCTTATGTATTTAGCTATTTTTCTTTTTTTTAATAGTTAAAATGTTGAAAACAGTCATCTTAATAATTTGTTTCTTTATTGGTCAACCACATTTCCCTAAAAGTGCATATTATAGGAGGGGTGGTTGTAAGAGAGTTTGAGGGCACGGTTTTATGGCTTCTAGACATTGTCAAGATGGCCACAGGCAGGATTCCAGTTTGGTGACTGGCACTGGAGTGCCAGATGCAGCGCACCCTGTCTCCACCCGCACAGCTGCTGTGGTTCTTTCCATGCCAGTTGTGTCTCCCAAGTCGGTCTTCCAGGTTGGTACTAAGGGGGAATGGAGGGGAGAAGCAAGGCATCAGCATCCTGTGAGGAATCCTGTGATGCCTCTGACCTCTCTCCTTGCAAGCTCACATTAAACAATCAGCCAAATCCGCCATCTAAGCATTTTGGAGAGCAGGAGTGAGGGATATGCGGAGGCACTGCTTGCCTCCCCACTTCTCCTGCCCTCCAGGGGATGCCTGTAATCCGCCAGAATTGTGGGCAGCCCCATCAGATTGTGCTGTGAGTATCATAACTATTTAAAAGGCAGGTGATTGAGTCATTAAATTTATGTATCTTTGCATGTTGCCCAAGCAGGAGTTTGTTACCCAAAGTTACCTTTGGCATAAGTTCTGTTGTATTAAAGCACCCTATCATTTACTTGTTAGAAAGTACAGCTATCATTTATAGTTCATTTTTAATAAATCCTTATTACCACAACACTCCAGTAGCAAAATGGTCTTAGAAACAAAACAACTATGTTAATTCACCAGGTAAAAATGGGCCCACCATATAATACATTATTGTTGATCAATCTAGTGCTAAAGCATGCAACCTTTGTTACAAATTACTCGTTCCATCAGTTGTGGTGAAGGAAGGTGTGGGAAAATAGGCGTATCTTTTATGCTTAAACGTATGGTTTCCCTTATGTTTCAGAAACATAGGCAGACTCTTGGCCAGTATCAGATGAATTCAAATTTCTTGTTTTGTTTTCTTCTCCTTCAGCTCATTGAAGCCATCTGGAGGGCTAGCAATGGGGAACCACTTGAGAAGATCACCAAGAGCCGACCCCCTTGTGTTATCCTTTAGCCTCTCTGGCCTGCACCTTTCAATTCTCCACTTGCCCTCCTCTTAACTCTGGCCATCCTTGCCTCAGCCTCTGACCCAGGTTTAATTACCTTGCTAAGTAGGGTTGCAAGAGGAATGTCAAGTTATTTTGAGTTGCTTGTCTGCAAACAGTCTTCTAAGGAAGAACCTGAGCCGCTTAATGGAAGCAAGGAGAGCAGGTTACTTGCTAAATATGTTGGGTCAGTCAGCCTTTCTGCTGAAGGGGAGTCCGCTTTGGAACCCCATTCTCATTCCTGGAGACTAAACTCTGACTTTGGCATTTCTCTATCCTCAAATGTACTCGCAAGAGTGAAGCCTTATTCTTTTCCCCTTTTCTTTTCAGAAGTAGGTTCCCTCTGTTTCTCCTGACTTTGGTGGCTCATTCCGAGACATCAGCTGCTTCTCCTACCCTGGTACACCTTTAACTAGGAGCCAGAATGTGCAAGTGTCTTGTCCTGTCTTAGGCTTCACTTTAATTTTTCATGGTTAACCCCACTCAGTACAATGATGATACGGGATGCGGAGAGCATGCTGGAATCTCAGCTGTTTCCCACTGCATGTCTTTCTCCCTTGTTGTGCCTGTTATCGTCACAGCTGCTGTAGGGTAAAGAACGGCACAAGCAATGGCAAGGACATACAAAGGACCATCCTGTCAGGTGCCCTCTCTGTGTGTTGTCTTCTATATATTTTGGATTGTAATTTCCAGGACTTCTGAGCATTGGACTCAGTTGGGACTTACAGAATCAGAAGTCCTCAATATTTGCAGGGCACTTGTATTGGGGAACGTGCCATATCAGCAAGCCAGACTGAGATATTAGGGTGAAGGAGAGGATATAGCTCAAGAAAGACCTGTTAAAATTAGTGGTCCAATAGTGATGCATTGGAGTTTGCTGCATAAAATGCTCTTTTCTTCCTTTCTTTTTTTTTTTAAGACTAGCTTAAAACCTGGAGCTATTCAGAACAGGCCAGTGATTTGGGTATAATCTTTCCTACCAAGACCATTGTGTCAGTGCTTAATATAATATACATCTGAACTGGAAGTGCTTTAAAAAGTGTATTAAGTTGAATCTTTCTGAATTGAGAGCATTATCAAGCCAAATATTTTGAGAGTGAAGTATGTGCTTCATTCTCCCATTGCAATATGGAATTTCAAGAGTACACACTTTAAAAATCAGTTTCTCTCTCAGATACCATCTGTGAATCAAACAGCAGATCCAGATTGCCTCACATTGGCAGAGCCTTGTAGTTGCATTGGACTACATCATCCATCACCCACACCCAGAACAGACCTTTTGGGCATGCTGGCTGGGAATGATCAGAGTAGTAGGTCAATACCCAGAGGGCACCAGGTTGGGGAAGGCTGACAGAAAGCTCACTGTGCTGTTTAAGTTTCCCCAATACTGGCCATGGTAGCAATGAAACAAGCATGGCACACATTTTGTTTTGCAGTGGTGGTGGAGAGAGGAAACAAAGGAGGCCTACTGAGAAATGCCAGCCATGCAAATGCATTGCATCTAGTTCATATCAACATGCTTAGTGCTCTTGTGCCTCCACATGGTCCCAAACACATGGATGTTTTCACCCAGTTTCCACCTTTTTATCTGCCCATTGGTGACTTGGGCACGTCTACCACAGCTTGAAATGCTAAAAGAAAGTCTTCAGTGCTACAGGAGACTGGAGAGAGATCCCCTTGCTCAGAGATGAAGAAAGAGCCAGTCGGGCTTTTATTCCCTCTGTCTTTATGTGCTGAGAATGTTGATGATCTATTTGCCGAATCCAATTTATATTAAAAAAATTAAGCAGTTAGAACTTGTAGTGAATTGTGTGTGCATGCATGGGGCTATAAACAGCTAGGGAAGCTTTTCCCTTAATATTTGGCAGTAGCTGCAAGGGGTGGAGGCAGTGATGCTATTCCAGACTTCAAGGATGGTGCGATGGACAGGATTCTCTGCACGGTTTTAAGGCCAGTTCTTGGATATATTCAGTATTAGACCAAAATAACCCACCCCCTTGTGCACTAGTTAAGAATGCTTGCTTAATTTAGGTTTTAATATCTATCAAAAACAAGGCCACCTGCTCCCAGTTTAACCGTTGCATCTACCTTTAGTTCATAAACCTAATTGTTTAGTGTATTGAGCCATTGAGATGGCCAAGTGCTTCTGAAAAGTATATGATGTTGTGTTTCTAGGATGTTCCTCCCTCCCTACTTGGGGTCCAGAGGGCCCTTGCAATCATTTGGGTGGGCCAACAACCCCACCGGCAGCATTTCCAGACCATGCCTTGATGCATATCCTAACCATAAGGGTTCCCTTCTGTTCTTCTTACCCCACCTACTTTTGTGTGTGTGGGGGGGGGGGGCTAACCATATCCCTAGAACCCAAAGTCTGTTGGCAGTGGTCAGCAATTCCATCTACTGGGTGACCACTAGGACAGCAGACCACCTTGCCACCTTCCTGAAATATGTGGAGTCCCATTCTCAGTCATTGTTACTGTCCTCTCCTTTAATTTTCAGCATTTGCTGTAACTTTTAACACCTCCTTACTATGAACGCTACTAAAGCTGGTAGGGCTTAGTTAGGCAGCAAATAAGGTAAAAACCTGGAGAGAATACACAGGGAAATAAAGTCATTTCCCAGTAAGTTTATTCATCTCCTTAGGAGATTTTCACCTCTCCTCTAATGAAGTTCTGTTTTATTTTAGGCCACTTGACTGCCAGTCTTCTATTGGAATTTCAGGGTTAAAATACTGCAGCAAGCAGTGATAACTAGTAAGCATGCCACAAGTCCAATGTGTAAGAATTTTACCATTCTAGTGAAAGTTTTGTATATTTTGCCCTTCCTCGGTAGCAGGTGTGGTAGTGCTATTTAGAGTGGCACCAATCTGCACTTGCGCTACAAATCAGCCATCCAAGTGCAGGAGACGTCAGCGATTTACCTCATTCAGGATGTGGCCACAACCAGACTAGGACCAACCCATAGTCTGCTATGACCAAAGTTGTCAGCTTTTAGACTTCGAACTAAAATTTAGGATTTTGGCCACTGTACCTTCAAGGTTACCTGGCCAAGGGTTAATTCTTCAGATGAGAAGTTTAGGCAGCAAGCTATTGCATAAGGGCCAGCATTCAAAAGTTTTAAATAAATAAATATTGGCACTGGACTTCTCTTCCATACTCATGTTTAAGCTACCTTGTTCCTAGCACATAGGTTTCTCCCCTTCTGTGGAAGAGTAACGGAGAGGCATGCTAATAATAATTTTACAAAAGCCAGGAGAGATTATTTCTGTAACAAAGAGACAATAAGCTCAGGAATGTATTTTTAAATTCAGGTGTAACAGGTTGCACCTACAGCATCAGGGACCATCCTTGAGCTCTGAAACCTGAAGAACTGGTCACTTGGCACCATGACCAACAGAAGGACCCTGAGACTCAGATTCTGGGAGTTGTAGGGCAGGGCACAGCTAAGTGGTGCCTGCTGGGATGCAGGCAGATGTGCTTTTGTTTGGGGGAGAGAAAGAAAAACAGACGACAGTAACAGCTGTGACACAAATACTTTTACATCTGAGGAAACAGGCTTCAGCTCCACCTAGTAAGCCATTTGACAGGTACTCATCTTTTTATTTACACAAAATATTTACTCTCCTGAGCTATGGTAACCAAGCAGCCTGTCTTCTTAAAATAACAACCACATATAGGGAAGCCAAAGGAAAGACAGTGGGGATTTTGGAACACAAGGGAGTTTCTACATTCTATCATCAAAGCACATTTTAAAGTATATGTCCATGTTTTATATACTTCATACTTCCAAGAATTCGTGACTTTGTTCCATGCCATGAAGTTCTAAAGGAACGGGGGTTAAACCAAAACCAGAGACAAAAAATCCAAGTGAAGCTACTGTGCTTTTTGTACCACTTAGTCATGCCAAATGCAGAAGGTATAACTCCAGATACAACTTCAACTCCCAGAAGCTCCTGTCAGTATAGCTTTTAAGTCCAAAATTTCTGGAGATTTCTGCTCATCCTTCTGCAGAATTGCCCTCTTGCTGGAGTCCCTGATGAGCCAGATCAGTTTGACTTCTGGATTCTCTCACCAGAAGCTGCCACAACAGCTTGTGGAACTTGTAGAAGAGCTGCCCCCAGAGGAAGTGTATTTCAGTTTTCTCCATAGACTGGAAATCTCCGTTTATCCCACTTAGAGGAAGTGGACTACAATGCTGCCCCCACCCCTTAATAATTAAGTAGTGTAGAAAATGAAAACATGTACAATTCTCAGATATACAAATACCTATGACACAACTGGATTTAAGTCAGACACAGCAGAGAAATCTCAATGTACCAAAATAGCACCAACTTGAAAACACAAGATTAAAAGGGAGCTGTGAGATGATATAGGGGGTGAGTGCAGTGGACTTCAGAAACAACAGATGACTAATCCCCCATCACACACTCATAAAGAACCCAGTCTGTTAGGTTACAATGTCTGCCTTGTGTTACAGAGGGCATTTCTACAGATGATCCTTAACAGTGGCATCTAGAGTCCTGGCATGTAGACAGAGCACAGCCTGTCTATCACAATGTATGTGCAGGGCTGGCTCCAGAGGGCAGCAGGGTCAGGCAGTTGCTGGGGCCTTGTGAGCAATGGCAGACCCAAAAAGGCAACGTGGAGAAGCTGGCTAAGATCAACAGTGGACAGTTTGGTGTGCAGTGTGACTTCTTAGCATGAGTTATCTGAGCATGAGGTGTGCAGGGTGTCTCCTGATGCTTGAAAGGGCCTATAGACAGTCAAACTAGTTATCTTACGAAGACCGCTCCTGAGATCTGTAGACTGGCCCCTTCTATGTGCAGTCTGAAAGTGGCTCCTTCCTTTATTATTTTTCAAGATCAGTTTACTAACATTTAACTAAATAGAAGATCATGGAAGATCAACCAGGGTCTGGTACAAAAGTTAAAAGAAGTGAGCCTAGGAATTTGCTTTTTGAGTGCTGGAATTGAACAATACCCCAGTCCTTCTGTACAAAAATCCACTTCAGCATTTAGGGAAGCAGGAAGTCATGATGTCGCTGCTATTGTTAAACAATTAAGAATCAGAAGTCCTTGCCAAGCTTCTGCAAGTCATCCAGAGCTTCACCACTAGATCCAGATCTACCTTCTGCCCAGTCCTGCCTCAGCCCAACTGCAAAATGAGGAAGAGGAACAGGAAGGATCTGCTTGGCCTCAAGAGAGGCATTAAGCCCTTAATTAATCCTGCTCATCTTGCATATATTTGTGATTCATTACTTTGTGTCCTGAGCTGCCTTAAAAGTGAAAACAGATTTCACTGATGATAGGAATGACCTTCATGCAAATTCCTTTGCACGAGTGATGGATTCTGCTAGGCCGAGATACTCGAGGTTCTCTGCAGTTGGAGTTGTAGTGAAGCTGTTAGTAGTGGTAGCAGGAACAATGGAGGCAGTGAAGAATTCTGCTGGATTGCTCTTGGGAGTCTCCTGATTCCAATAATAGAGATTGTCAAAGGCTTGCGGCAAAGGGCCAGCCACGGGAAGTGTGCATGGAGTCAGGTACTCTGGATTTCCCACCACATGGGTGAAGCCGCTCTGGTAGGCATTATTTGGTTCCTTGATGAGGCCATTCTTGCCTAAATGACCCTTTGGCTTTCCCAGTGTGGAACCTGGTGATTGAAGGTTCTTGCTGAATGGAAGGCCATTCTCTGGCTGGTTCACATACTCTGCAGCAGAAAGAAACAGCAAAAAGAACTAGGCTAGTTAATTAAACATCTATACTATCCAGTAGCTGAAGCCCTTTGGACAAACCATAAAATTTAGCAGGACAGAATATATGTTAAAGTTTAAAATGCTAATAGAAAACCAAAGTAAAAGTTCTTGATTAACTTGCAGTGTCTTTCCATTGTGACTTAATAGCAGCCTTTGCTTTTGACTGCTGACTCAATTTTAATCAGGCTAGAAATCAGGCTAGAAACTTGCTTTAGAAACAAACTGAAGCCCACACCAAAAACATTAAGGGTGCAGTCCTACAGTCAGTAGACAATGGGTGGCTGGCCATTGGAAAAGGCAGAGTCTTCCATTTAACTTCAAAAAGCCCTCCAAGTCACAACAGGGACTCTGTTTTTGAAGACTCTTTCTTCCCTCCTCACAGATGGCAAAGTTCTTTGCCTGCACCTGCAGCTCCAAAGATGGAAGGGGATCCATCATCAGGGCAGGCACTGGGGGGTGGAGAGGGGAGGAGTGAGGCACTGCTGTTCTCTGAAGAATCCAAGCGGTGCCCCCTGCCACTCCTCCTCCCCTGGGAGGAAAAAGACAGCTGAAATTGGCGGTCTAAATATTTTGGAAGGTGAGAGGAGCACAGAGGCAATCCTAGTCATGGCACTCTTCCCACCGCTGCTGGATGCCCATAACCTTCCAGGCACCCAGCACACAAGATACACCACTGTAAAGAATCCAAATAGCGCACACGTACCTGGAACCACATCCGAGGGCTCCGGTGAACTGCAGCTTTTGACATCCAGACTGTCGTTTTGCTTAGCCGCGGCACTGGTGGGATCTTCACTGTAACGCTGAAGAGTGCCGGGCTCCTTCTGTGGTGCCTTGCTTGCTGCACATTCCTCTTTGAGCAAGTCAGGCACACCATCTGACTCTTTGGAGAAAGATGAGCCCAGATACTGAGCTGATTCCTCGGTCTCCTCTGCATCCATTTGAGTCTCTGTGGCGCTCTGCAAGGAAACAAGCGGTTATGCACATCAGTTGCACAGCTGTCCCAGGAGGTCTAGGAAGTTGATACTCTGCTTATAAATGGAAATTGATGGTATAGGCTTGCATATGGTAAGTATTTCCAGAAGCTTAGTGTTTTATTCCATACTTTTTATGGGCTTCCATTCCACCATGAATATCTCAAAAAAGATGCAACTTTTGATCAAAGAGGGTAGATTTGGTCTCCCTGATATTTCTTTATATCATGGGGCCTATTTGTTGACTTGCATTAGATTGTGGTCTTTTTCACTTAGATTAGATTCCTCTCAGTTTTAGAATCTTCTTTTCTGGATCCTCTTCCCAATTGGATTACACTGTGTGCTCATCAATTGCAGTTTGCATATTTCCACATGTCAAATTAAATTGATGGCAGAATCTGGACTGAAAAATTGGCAAGAAAGCATTTGTTTGGTGGATTTAAATGGACTGGCTGATTTTTACTTTGGCTCAGTTTGTTGGTCTGGACGTTAATTTTTGCCATTTTCTACTCTGTGCATAAATATAAATTGCCATGGCAAAATATGCCACTGGGGGGGGGAATAATTTCTAGATGAGTTCCTGCTACTTTTACAGCTTAGAACCACCTGAGTTACTGGAAGCATTCACTGAGACTGAGCAGCTACTGTGACCTATAGTTCATGTGTTTAAATACCTATTATCAGTGCATAAATACCCAGGGTCTCCACTAAGAATGGTATAATGAACTGGAACGCCCCGTTTTGTCCAATCAATGGAGTGCTTCACTGCTACCTGCTTCAGAAGAGGTCACGAATCTTCAGCTACACTTAATTCAGCAAAAAATGATGTTGCAAGTATACTGGACACCATGACAACTCTGATAAGGGCTTCATCAAATCAGCCAATTGTTGGAGGTGCAATGCTGCTAATACCTCTTTATATGTTTTGGTAATGCCCAATTACAGTTTCCTTCTGGGAAGAGGTAATAATACAGATAGCTCCTATGATGGAAAGTTCTTTAATGTTCAAGGATACCCATGTTCTCTTGAATTATTTACCTGTCCCTTTGAATTTAAGGCAAATAGACTTCCCATGCCTTTTGGAAAGCTAAAAGACTAATAAGACCACAGTGGAAAGATAAAAGACCATTTGCCATAACATAATGAGAGGAAGAGCTAATGAAACTTTCAAGTTTTGAATGTGTGACCTTTAGGTGTAAACCAGAAATGGATGGATGTTTGGGCTCCCTTTGTTGGAGTTTCTGCATCATTATTTTCAATAGCATTAGTATGCTCTGTTACATACTAACACATAAGAATACATAATATATCTGTATGTAATGTTATAGATCTTAACCAATTTTATCCAAAAATAGCAATGTTTTAGTTTGCTTTATCCTTTTTCTACAAAGGATTACAAAAAAATAACTATGTTTTTGTAAGACACAATAAAATTAAAAGAAAATCTTGCATATCAGATTTGCAGATGTGTACATGCCCCCCTCACAAGGGAGGAGAGTATTCCACACTGGAAGTAGAATGTAACCCAGATATAAATTGGGTATATTGTTCATATACTTACTCTGGTTGAAGGAATCCTAGATCGATAGTCAGCTGATGCCTCCCCACTGAAGAAGCCCTGGTGGGGGACTAGGTACTCTTCTGCATCCACCAGATCTTGCATATCTTCCTCTTCTAGCAAAGTGCGGTAGAAAGTACTGTCTATGGGGCTGACTAGACCCATCTTATCATCATTCTATCAGCAATAAAAAATAATATTAAGTATTTGAGGCTTTCAGAATTCTCCTCCTACTGCTGAAAATGTAGGTAGAAGGGAATCTGCTTAAAATAGCACATCTTCTCTCAATAATTTTTACAATGAACAGCTAAGATAGGTAAGTCTTATTATATTCATCATGTTGATAGTAGGTTGAGGCTGAATGAGTAGCTTATCTAAGACCAACTGCAAAAGATAAGCTTTGACTTGGGGACTTCCTGGTTCACAGCTCATACTTGTAAAAATTATGCAACAACAAACTAATTTGCATGCATTTGGCAGAACATGTTCTTGTCTTTTCCTACCCTCCCACCCTACCCCTGCAGTTGAGTAATATAGTTACTGTGGGAAACACCCCTTAAGCGATAGCCTTCTGCAGAATAAAGGACAACCTGCAATTTGCTCACCTGGATGACCACAAAACGTTGTGGATCCCTAGCCATGCGTGTGAACTCCGTGACCAACTCTCGGAATTTGGGTCGGCATTCTGAGTCGATCATCCAACCTATGGGGCAAATACAGCAGAAGTATTCCTTCAGTATGTCAGATCAAATTAAATCTTCATAACAGAACTAGGTTTCTTTGCATTGTACATAATGCCCTCAATATTTTATATTGTTAATTTATTATATATTGAATGTTTTATATTTTAATTTTATGTTGTGAGCCGCCCCGAGGCTTCAGCGAATGGGGCGGCATAGAAATGTTTTAAATAAATAAATAAATAAATAAATAAACCTGCATGTGGCCTTCAACCACCATCTGCACAGCTTGCAAGATCCTGGAAAATGCTGCTCCTGTTTGTATCTCAGCTGAAGACCACAGTTTTTAGTATTCTAAAAAACTGTTTGTTCCATGTATAAGCAATGCAAATAAAACTCAATGCAGTCCTAGGCAGGGACCAAATAAAGCAGGGTTCCTTCTCAATTGCGCAGAGAGTTGTAGTTGCATTCAAGTTATGTGCTTAGTGAAACAGGGCCAGGAAAAATATGATACCAGTTTCTACATGCTTGAGGCTTGCCCTACATATGCAAAAATACACATTCATAAAATAAAAGATTAAAACTCCTCCAAAAATTCCTAAGAAGAACCTGTCAAGTTCTGAGAGGTGTGGAATGGTAATGGCAGTTGTGCCTATAAAAGAAAAAGGGGAAATGGTCTAAAGAAACTAGGCTGATGGTGTGAGTATCTGTGGTTAAGAACAGTTAATACACAGAAGGGTAGGGTATCTGTTGAAAGCCAAACCACAAAAAAAGGAGAATGGAAGACAGAAGAACAGAGAGAGTGGACCTTCTTGAGCCTGTACTAACTTTCGCTGCCAAGTAAAGACCTTTTCATTTAGTATCTGTTTTTAGAATCATTATTTCATTTGCTTTTTGCTGCTGGTTTTAGATTGTATATTATCCTCCAGTTTTCACACTTTATATTAGTTGGATTTTATATGGATTTAGATGGTATTGTTTTATTTTATTACATTTATGCTGGTGTTTCTGTTCCTTGAGAGCCACCCAGCAAGCCCTTGAGCTATGGGGCAGCATACAAATGGAATGAATGAATGAACAGTTTGTCCAGAAAGTCCAAATTAGTGTCTGGGAAAACTGCATTCTACAACATATATAAATCATATAAACAGAGAATTTTTGCCTAATTTCTACATATTTATTCTGCAATGTTTGTAATTGCTCACCCTTCCCATGACATTAAAACTTACACAGGATATTAAAAACCCATCCACAACCAGAAGAAATCTTACTGAACTACCTGTCTGACTTCAGAGATTTCAGGAAAAATTGTCTGCAAACCTTCAAGTATACATGTGCAATCATAAGGGCTAAAAATGTGCCTTTGGTTAAAAAATGGTAGTTGAATGCTGTGTCAAATAACACATTTTAGGCTTGTTCTGCCCTGTGGAATTGGAGCAGTTACATGGCTCTAAGTATGGGCCAGCAGAGTTAAATATTAATTTAGGACATTTATATGTGATCTTTGATCAAATATGTCAAGATAGTTTACAAAAAATATATTGACTCAAAACTGCCTGCTGTTAAAAGTTATCCTTCTTTGTACCAAAAGGAAGAAAGCTATCTTATCTCACCAGCCCCAAAAGGTAATCATTATAGAAAATACAAGTTTACTGATGCAGATCTTGTTTGTGACACGGTCAAGGTACTCTAAACATCTGGTACAGGTCAGTCTGTCGCTGGAAGGCTGAGAATGGCAAGACTACAGCAATCAGCTTTTGTCCCTTTAGTTTGTTTCAGCCCTTCCTCATCCCTTGCAAATCTATCAGCCATCTCTGGTCACTTACATTTCACCATGATCATGTAGACATCAATAGTGCAGATGGGAGGCTGGGGCAACCTCTCTCCTTTCTCTAGCAAATCAGGGATCTCTCGGGCGGGGATGCCATCGTATGGCTTGGCACCAAAAGTCATCAGCTCCCATACAGTAACACCTGGAAAGAAAGAAGCAAGGACACTCCCATTAAGTATGAGTTAGGTTTTCACAACAGGTGCACATGGGAAAGACTACAGTAGAGTCTACTTACCATAGCTCCACACATCACTTTGGTGGGTGAATCGTCTGCGCAAGATGGACTCCAGTGCCATCCATTTGATAGGCACCTGAGCAAGGCAAACAGTAACAGAATCACAGAGCTGAAAGGCGCCATTCAGACTATAAAGTTCAACCCTCTGTTCAGTGCAGGATTCCAGTTTAAAACATCCCCGATAGATAGTAGTCCAGTCTTTGCTTGAAAACCTCCAGCAATGCTGAGTCCATTAGGCTCCTTAGGCAGGTGGTTACATTTCTGATTGCTCTCACTGCTAGGAAATTTTTCTGGCCTAAATTGAAATCTCCCTTCCTAAATTTAAGCCTGTTATTTCTTGTCCTGCAGTCCTGGCTGATAGAAAACAGATTGTGACCCTCCTCTCGGAGACAAGCTTTTGGTACTTGAAAAAGTACATTTTCCAGACTAAATATACCCAGCTGTCAGAGCTGCCTCACCCATGAAGCAGGGTGGGACTGAAATCATGGTGCCATTGTGCGGCAGCAAATCAGCTTGCTTCCCCACCTGCAGCCAACCTGGAGAGCCCACCACAGCTCCAGCAGGTGCTTGTGGTGAGCTGCCCACCCCACTGCCATCTCCACTTCCAGTGAATGCTCCAAAGGACCCATTGCAGCCGTTTCCCTGCTGTGGCATTTGCCACAGTGAGACAGTAGCCAGTGGGGTTGTTCAGAGCGGCCACCAACCCCCATTGGTGTGGGGCTCTGGAGCTCTTGAGCAAACTTGGGATTTGCTGGACACCTCACAGTCTTAATCATGTTTAGGCACCTTGTGAAAACCCCCTGCTGCCATCCCAGCAAACATAACAGCAAAGGAAAGTCGGTGGCAAGAAGGCTTGTGTCAGACCTGTCAGTTCCTTTATTCTTCCACATTCCTTCCTTCCTGTAGAAACTCGGGGCTTTCTACAGTTTTCTTCACTTGATCAACTGCAACTTCATGGTCCTTTTCACGGGTATTGTTTCCAAGGCAAGAACTTCCCGTCTTGTAACTGTGCATTTGATTTCTTTTAAGGAAGAAGTTTCTACTTCTCTCTGCTAAATTTCATTCTTTTATTTTCTGTCCAGCTCACCTGCTGGTGCACATTTTGCAGTTTTCCCTGAGCCTTTAGGCAGACACTTTTGTACCTTCCTGAGCACCCAGAGAGTTAGGGGAAAGTGTAAAATGCATTTCAGGATATGGGCAAGCTGGAGGTGGGGTAACGAGTATCTTGCCATGAAAGAGGTGAAAATCCCAGATCACCCCCTTTTTGTGTGCAAAGATCCCTTGCAGCCTTTGTTTATTTTGACAGTAGTCAAGAGTAAAGACAATCTGCAGCCTTTCCTGGGCAACATCCAGCCTTAGTACTTGCTGTGCTTTGGCAGCAGGCAAACTCTAAGGCTTTGCCCCAGCCAAGCCTTCAAATCCCTTGCAGTTGCACAACTGCACCTAAAAGGATAACACAAAATAAAGGAACTTGTTTGCACACTTTTTTTGCACAATGAAAAAAGACAGACCAGTTCTGCCCTAAACTCACAGCTCCTCCAAAAGCGCCACTGTGGCACTTTGAAAGGACTGTCAGCGTCTCTGGGAAAAATGGCAAGGGGGAGATCTGTAGTCAGCCCAAAACAGCTTGTGATTGCGCCAAGGATGGGGATGATGGCAACTTGTTCCTTCTGTGGTATTCCCTGGGATACCCACAGATGGACCGATGGGAAGGAGGGGGCCAACCACTGTCTATCAGGCCCACCATGGGTCATTTCACCAAGTCACCCATCCTGGATGACTTAGTGTGACATGTGAAATTGCCCATCGTATGTGTGTCTTAGGCCTAGTTCACAGCGAAGTGGTAGGCCTTGAGCTGAACCATTGCATGGGACTCACGATGTAGAGTTTCCTTCCGTACTAAGCATTCCCTACATGGCTTCTTTTCTTTATCTAAACCTAAGCTGGCAGGCAAAAAGCTAGGTCACAACTCCTTTTCCCCTGTTTTGCCTGGAGAAGCAATCCTTCATGTGTGATCCCACATGACTAGAAATGGTGCAGCTCAGGTGTGCGATTACCATTTCTGCTGCTGCTTCCAACAGTGAGGCCAAAGGCTAGAAGAGATAAAGGGAGCTACTTCCGCACCCTCAGCACCCTCCTGCTCTGTACAGAAGGAGAAAGTGCAGCAAATTGAAATGCAATTTAAAATAACTCCACAATAGCCAGGAAGGGTAGCAACTTGGAGAAACAGAGGAGCGGCTGAGCATGAATGTCCTGCAGTTATTGACAAGTCTTTCTTATGCATAAACATTGATTTAGAATGGTCTTTACAAAATTCAGAATTACTGCTACTACTTTTTTGTGCTTTTTTAAGACCAACAGTGTGTTGTGGACTATACCCCATCAATGCCAGAAAGCAGCAGGCCTTGGCTCCAGAAGAGGCTGTGCTATAATCTCAGCCAAATATTGTTTAGTGATGCCTTCAATTATAGTAAGGGAAGCTTTTCTGTATAGCACAGGCTTCTCCAAACTGCTCCTCTCCAGTGTTAGACTACAACTTCCATCATCCCCAGCCCACATGGCCAGTGGCCAGGGATGGTAGGAGTTGTACTCCAACTTATCTTGCAGGAACCAGCTTGAGGAAGGCTGCTTATAGCTAATTCGCTGAAAGGAACCAGGCTTCTGGTCATGTGCTAGAATTGCCGCCTTCTCCAGCAATACTGGTGACCTGACCAGTCAAATTGGGGGCAGGCAATGTGGCCTCTCAGGCCAATAGGAATCCCAATTCCACAACATCTGGAGTACCACAGGCTCCCCATCCCTGCCATAATCCTTTCAACACACCTTTCCTCCATCAGCATGGTATTCTGTCTCATCAATGTCCAGCAGCCGAGCCAAGCCAAAATCTGTGATCTTCACATGATTTGGGCTCTTCACCAGGACATTCCGGGCAGCCAAGTCCCGGTGAACCAGGCGGACATCCTCCAGGTAGCTCATGCCCTGAGAGAGAAGGAACAAATACTTGTCAGCTTCATTCTGAGTTGAGCCATAGGGGGTTATTCCCGGAACTCTTTAATGGACAACACATGGGGTGGATAGGCACCCTCACCTGACTTAAGGAATGAAGGGCTCTAATTAAAATCAATTTCTTCATTTCTGTGACATCAACAGAACATTTCTAAATTTACTTTGAAAAGCAGAAGAGAAGTGAAAACAATTGTGGCGGTTCTTGCCTGACCCCGCTGGTGTACTTCTTTTCAGCAACTTATGAAACAGAGAAGTCTGAACAGATGACACTGATGATAGATTATTATTCCCCTCTTTCTATTTGGGAAATAGCTATCGAATATCCCAAATACAGGCCTTGCTCAGTCCCGCTACCCGTCATTCCTTTAACTGGGCATAGCAACAACTGGTTTGGCTTGTTTTGCAAACAAAGCATATGTTCTTCCCAATGTTAAGTTTATATACATTTGTACCAGTTCCAAGGCTTGGAGGAGAAGAGGGGCATCCACAGGATGAGTAGCTTGCAAGTATAAGGGCAAATAACTGCATTTATATGTACGTATATTTAGGAAATTGCTGTAAAACACACAGAGAATGCAGAAATTCTTATATGATTGGATTCCTCCTAAGTTCCCTATTCTGTGCTAAGTCAACTTCTGGTTGTAATCCAGTAGACATACGGACGTACTCTGCTCTGCTTTTTCACAGTGCAGCCCCTCCTGCACAACTTCACCAGCTGAAGTTCTCTTACCTAGACTGTTTATAAAAGCACTGGATTCAATCATGAATCCATTCCCATGACTGCCTTCCTAAGAGCTTTCCTCATGCCAGTCCATCTAAAGTATGTAGCATCTTCAGAAAGTGGTTACATCAGTGATATGATTAGGTTTGTTTTATTTGGGAACAGGGAGAAGAGGAGAGGAGGGGAGGGGAAGGGAGGGGAGGGGACTGATTGTATACAGTAATGGTGGGACCCAGGCTGTGTGCTGCAGCTGAACTAGATGCATGCCAGATGAACTATGACCAGACAACCAATGTCCCTGCCCTGAAGCCCCACTTACCTTTGCTATCTGCACACACCAATTAAGGAGATCCTGGGATCCAATGCGGTCCTTGTTCTCCCGCACGTAGTCTAGCAGGCAGCCGTAAGGCATGAGCTGAGTCACCAGCTGCACTGTTGAGGTGAGGCAGATTCCCAGCAGACGTGAGACGTATGGGCTGCCCACGCCTGCCATGACGTATGCCTCCTGGGGCAGTGGGGAAGAAGGCAGGCATTAGACCTTGCTTTGGAAACAGAGCTGGTTGGCAAAACCCAGGAACCCGACAACCTCCAACTGGGGTGGGGGGAATCATCACTGCTTCCCCACTCACATCCAAGATCTCCTTGTTGGCTTTAGGGGAGGTGTTTTCCCGCAAGACTTTGATGGCCACTGGGATCTTCACACACTCACCATCTGGAATCCAAACACCCTGCATGGGCAACCAAGAGAAAGCGCACAATATATTAAGCAGGGATTTTTTAACTACAGGAAGGTAGGAAGGGAGAAAACAGCATTAGAAAATTTGGCAATACTGTCCGAAATCAAGATAATCAAAATACTGTCCTAAGGCAGGAAACTGGCCTAGATATTAAACATCCCATGGAGACTGTGCACACACTACACACAAACTGCAAATTTCCCAGGAAAGGTTTTTAACATCTTCATCAAATGGTTCCCGGATGAATCCCAGCCAAGGCCTCCCACAGTATGAACCCATGTTTAACCAATTGATTCCCCTTATCCTCACCTTGTACACTGTTCCAAAAGCACCTGAGCCCAAAACCTTGACTTTCTTCAATTCTGTCTCCTTGAGAATGCGCATTTGAGCCTGGTTTGGCAGGGCTCCGCTGGGTGTCAATGGTTCCACCAACTAACAGAATCCAGAAAACAATGGGATAATAAGAAAGAAACAGAGAGGAGTGCATTCACTCCTTCAGGTAGTCATCAGGATGCAATACAATTATCTAGGTGCCATGAACATGAAAGAAAGCAAAAACATGTGTTTGGCCACTTCTGCAGGGGTTCTTCAGAATGGAAACTCCTTTAGGACTATTTAAACATGCTTTATGTATACATTTTACTGGATCAGAGAACAACTGGCCATTGTATTCAGCATTCTGTTTCCAGCAGTAGCCAGCCATATAATCCTGGAAGGTTAACATTCAACAGTATACTGCCTGTATACAAGGATGCTCCATTTAATTATTGTGGCTAAATGAAATGTACAGAAATACGATTCCCCTTGCAAGGGTAAAATGTAATAAATGTTACTAACATTCAAAATGTTATATGAATCTTTGCTGGAGCAATATGTTGGGAGTTTTTGGGAATTATCCCTGGTAGTAGTACAGAATCCCTGGAAGGGATACTGGAGATCATCTACTCCAGATGTGAGCGATTTGTAATCCTCCAGGTACTTGAGTCCACAACTCTCAGCAGCCCTAGCCAGCTCAGTCTATAGTAAGATCATGGGGGTTATAGGCCAGTCATTGGGGGAGGGGGGGACAAGTTTCTACTTCTGATCTTGTTCAGCCTCTGCATAAACACCTCCAAGCAAAGATGAATCCACCATATCCCAGACAGTCTGTTCTACTGCTGAACAGCTCCCCACATTTGGAGGTTTTCCTATTGTTCAGCCAAAATCTGCTTCCTTAAACCTATTCATTCTCCTGCTCTCAGAAGCAATGGAAAATAACTCTGCTCCATTTTGACATGACAGCCTTTCAGATAACTGAAGACAATTATTTCTTCCCTTAATCTACTGTTTTCCAGGCTAAACATACCTAGCACTTTCAACCATTCCTCAAAGGACTTGGTTTTTAGATCCCTCACCAATCCTGGTCGCTCTTTTCTGGACATGCTCCAACTTGTCAATATCCTTCTTAAAATGGAACACTCAGAACTGGGCACATTATTCTACACACAGTCTAACACCGAACAGAGTAGAATGGTTATTTCTCATGGTCTGGGCACTAGGCTTCTGTTAATGCAGCCTGATAGCATTGACTTTCTTAGCTGCTGCGTCACGCTGCTGCCCCAAATTCAGCTTGTGCTCCGCTAAGATACCTAGGCCCATTTCATGTGGATTGCTGCCAAGCCAGGCCTCCCCCGTGCTATATGAATGATGGCTGCCATCCATACTTCAGTCTCCTGCAGAAGACGCCGCATTGTATGCTTCCTCTCCTGCTGCTTCCTCCGGTTTATACAAATGATGATAAGCAGCAACAGAACTAGAGCAAGTGCAGCACCCACGACCCCAGCAATGATGGATGTAGCCTGGCTGGAAGAGGAAAGGGAGAGAGAAAAGCAACATCAGCAGCCTAAAGCAGAAATGGCAGATCATTTCACCTAGGGGCAGAGGGCAACTCTTGAAGCACACATTATTTTATCCTAAAATATTCTCTTCGGTATGTTGTTTGGAGCTAAGAAATGTACCATGCAATTTAGGGAAGTGCAAAATCCAAAGGATAATTAAGTTCTAATCATTAGTCCTTTCTGTAGTGTCACTCTGTCCTGAAAACTGAGGATAATTCTGTTTGTTTGGATGTCTTTTCAAAGTTTAAACAGTTGAAAACCACAGGCTTTGCAGCAATCATCCCCATCAGTCTCTTCTCAAAGGACTTGCCCCCTAGAACTTCTAGTGCTGGTACAAGATGTAGCAAAGTCCACATGCTAAGAACTGGCCCACTATGCTTCACGTGTCAGCTTGTCCATGAATTCAGGAAGTAGCCCCAGGCAAGCCTCCCTACAGGGCTACTGTTCAGCTTTACAGGGTCATTGCAACAATTATTGGGTTAATATATGGAATATATGAACCCCTGGTGAAAGTTAGAACTAATAAATATAATTAATTCATCTCTAGCTCTCCTGTGAATCTTGCTCAATTTGCAGTCATTTCTTATTCCAACTAAACTTTCAGCACACCAAGGTACTTTGTAGGTCTTAAAACAGCAGTTTTGAAAGGTTCTCTGTTTCCATGAAGGGGCCAGAAAAATACTTGTTTTTCATTAGAAAAATAAAACAAAGATTGTTTTCAGAATACTGTATTCCCTGATCATCCATAATTATGGCTATAGTTATAGCTTTTGTTCATATAAAAATTTTGTGCAGCCCCAGATTTAAAGTTTTGTAATTTTTAAGCTCTCTGCCCTCTCCATCCTATGCATGCAATAAGCTTTATGAATATCATCTTCCACTCCATGAAGGAAAGGTTCCATCCAAAAGAAATGAGCCAAAATCCAGTACCCAGGTTTCTGATCCACAGGGCAGCCACGCTCATCCCGGAGCACACACCTGGAAAGAGAAATATGAGAAATGCTGCTCTAGATGTTAATTACAAATAAGTGGTGTTGGAGTCCAAGCCTATCTCAAAGCCCTGTGCCCATGATTATCACACGTGCAAGACTACGACCATTTTCTTAAATGGACTGAAATAACCAATAAATACAAACTATAAACAATCTGGTTAAAAAGTAGAAAAATATAAATGCTAAAACAGAAAGAGTACAGAGATACACATGCATAAAAGTTAATGATTATGTGCTTTGAAACATTATAAGAACCTGTAAAAGTCTTGTAATGTCTAGCACTGCAGGTTAAAAAAACTTTTACGAGTATAATCTCCATACAGTCAAAGCCCCCTAACAAGGAGGAGGGGGCTGCTGGTATTTCTGGCTCAGGCACTAAAATAACTTGGTGTTTGCCAGAGCCCTGCATACTTCATAGTAAGTCACTGTCTATGCATGAAATAGAACATGGCCAGGCAACCTGATTCCCGCCATTTATTTGAATTACAATTCCTGTAATTCTGGGCCACTGGCAATGCTGACTGATACTGATGGGAGGTATAGTCCAAAATATTTGTAGGGCACCAGGTTGCTTGCTCTGAAATGGAATGAGGTGGCAGAGCCCAGAAGTAGAGAACGGACTGCTTCTGGCAGCAAAAAGGGGTGAGGAGCAGGGAGTACAATTTTTGAATGCTCCCCTTAAAAAAATGGAGCAATTGAACTAGAATTTTTCTTGTTGATCTCTTTGGGGTTGCTTCTTAATGAATGTTCTGGGAAATATAACCTGTCCTGGAACCAAAGAATGAGACAGGCTGTAAACATTACTTTAAAAATAATCATAGCAACAGCAGCTGTAACAGAAGAACACAGGAAGAATGGCATGCCAACTGGGGGAAAGGAGGGTTATTCTAGAACGCTCCCTTTTGCTACATGCTATTTTTCAGAGCTGGTGTATCTTTGCCAGCCTTAGCAGGCTTAATAGTTCTTCATCCCCATTTCCCAGGACCAACTAGACGAGGCTGCTGGTGCCCCTTCGCAGCTGATCTGTCCCATAGATTCTCAGCTCTCTTGCAAACTCACAGATGGGTGCAATTGACTGAGCAGGACTGACAGATGCCTTGTTCATCAGGATACTTCCAGATGGGTACAAAAGAGCCATCGACCTTCACCCCACTGGGACACCGCTCCATGCAGAAGGGGCCATCTTTGTAATGGGCGCAAGCCACACATTGGTCTGCTTCCTAGGAAGGGAGGGAGGAAGTGGGAAACGGGGGGAGTCATTCATTTTAGCTTTCAAATAGGAATCTGCATTTAGTAACAGCCTTTTCTTTCATTATGCAAGTTGACCTCTTGCTGACATGACTATAAACAGATATAACCTTCCGAATGGAAGAATCTGGCTGCTGGATAGGAATTTAGAGATTTGGAGTCAGTGGACTGGAGGATATTGCAAAGTTGCCTCAGGAGAACAGTGTCATGGATGTTACACATTTTATTACCAGTGAAGTAAAAAGTTGTGTAACTTGGATTTGGTAATATTTCCAGCAATAAGGTAGCCCATTGACCTCAGTAAGTGATGCTCAGTGTTCGTGCTTGACATCCTCCCACTGATGTAAATGAAATGTCAAAGTGCTTCACTTGGACTGGATCACATTAAATGTTTGTAAGAAATAGTTACTTTGTCCAGTATTAAGACTGCATTAAGCTCAGCCAGCTTCACCTAAAATATCGGGAGTCTTTGGCCACATGCCAATTAGTGTTTTTGCTCTTCCATAATGGAGAGAATACAATGGCTTTGTCAGTATCATCTGGAAATGGTAGAGCCCTCCAGATGTATTGAACTGCAACTCCTATTATCCCCAGAGGTGCAGTCTAACTCATCTGGAGGTTGGGAAAGTCTTCCCTAGACCATGAGAATAGTCAGTTCTGACAACAGAGAGATACAATAAGTGTAGGCAAATCTAGCATGTTTTCTTAGATCATGTTATAAATGTATGTACTCCAAAAGTTATGTATGGTGTAAGCAGGATTTATTGCCTTTCACTCTGTGTATTCACAAGATTGCATAGAAACAAAAGTTATTATCTCCCGAATAAGCTCTTGCTTAAAACAAACAAATGTCTAAGCCTTGATGGCTACAAAGAAAAGAAGGCCCTAATATTCAGTATAACACTGGTCCTCATGAATTTACAGCAAAGTTCAACAGGTTTTCCTTTCAGGCCACAGCCCTCTACCTGCTTAGTAAATCAGTGGTAGTTAGGGGAGCCACCTGAATGAACAAACCTTAGTTAATAAAATAAATCACATTCCCTGTTTTTAGATAAAGGTACAACTTTCACAATGAGCATCATCTTAAAGAAGTGTTCCCTTGTGCATGTGAGACAAGGAAAATTGCTTGTTTGAAGATGATACCTGTATGTATTTACATATTAATACTAATTTTTGTATTAGTATGTAAATAACACATTCCCTCATATTACCCATTTAATCAAGAGGGTGGGATTCAAATATTAATGTGATGCAGCTCATCAACACAATACAAAATGCAAAACTTGGAGGACATACAAGAAGCCAGGAAAGCTTACAGCATACTACCACAGGTTGTCCTTATGGCAACAGAATGACTTTCTTTCTTTGCTTTTCTGTAAACATGTGCTGTAATTTGACCAGGGCTATAGCAAAAACAAGTGCACTTTCACTCTGATAATTTCTTTCTAGCATTTCACAGTCTTACGCATGACTGGCCATGTTGCTGCTCCATTTAAAACAGGCCTGGAGAATTTGTTCTTAGCTTTCCTTTGCAAACGGCATGAGGAGAAGGGCTGCCTTTTCTTTAGAAAGACTGGTCTGATTTTGCAGCTGCCTAGTCCAGCCTTACCAATCCTGCTGTCCTTCACAGAGGACAGCCTTCAATTTTTAGCATCCCCAGTCATGACCATGTTACCTTGGGATGCTGGGAGTTTTATTCCAACACGTGCCAAGGCTGGGACCAGCTGCTGTATTGAAATGGTTTTCCAAACTCTACCTCAGCCTTATCAAGGATACCTCAGTAAAAAGTTAAGTCATGGCAAAGGTGCTTCCCTGAAAGGCCCCAACCCGGCTGCTACCCGGCTTCTTTTGTGCAGCCCTGGTGCCATGTGCAGCCACAGGGCAGCTTTGGGCTGATATTGGCATAAAGGTTTGGCAGGATGAGAATGAATGCTACCTGTAATGTCCCCTCCTCCCCTTGCATGATCCAATTTCCTCTCACTTGCATTTCTTTTAATACATTTACATTAGAAAACTTCAACAAAATAAAAGAATTAACTACACAGACTGGAATACGCCCATTTTGAATACATGCGTATGAATTGAGAAAAAGACAGCTTTTACAAACCATAGCTAAACGTCAAGAAAGACAGACCGAATATCCATATATGTATTAGTTTGCAAGGGCCATGTATATACCATCCAATCAAATGTTGAAAGCATCATTAGGCCCGTGATCAACTGCATTATAAAGGTAAGTGAATATCCTTCCAAACTTGTAATATAAATATTTTTGGCTGTTAGGTGGAGAATGCATTTGGGCTGACCATGTGCTGACTCCCAAGAAGCAGATATGTAATTTCAGAGGACATGTGCATATGTAAATATTAAAGAGTGTTCCAGTATAAAGTTTATCTTTATTATAAGCTCCTTCCCAAAAGAAGTGGGCATTACCAAAACATATGATTAAAAGAAGCATTAGATGTGATACACCTCCAGCAATTTGCTGACTTAGACAAACCCTTATTAAAGAGACGTTGTGGTGTCCAGTAGATGCAGAACAAAGGTTTTGGGTGAACGGAGCATAACCTGCACATCATATGTGCTTCAGAAACATAAGGTAAGGCTGTAATTCATTAGTTAAGCAAAATGAAATTGCCCAATTTCCTATTCAGTATTTCTAAACAAGGATTATGGGACAATAGAACCGATTAGTTTGGAAGCATTATAAGTGCTTCCAAACACAAAGGAGCCTCTGAAGCTGCCAAGGGATTCTAACAGATGCTGCAATTTCTAGCATTGCAATTCTGCTATAACAGGCAAATCATATTTGGCATGCAAAGCCAAGAACAACAACAGCTCGTTATCAGCATTCATGGATTGATCCTACGTAAAAATCAACCTATTTGCTGCAAAAAAAATTTCCTACCCATTTTTAAAACCGTATTTCCCCATAGCATCAACTGAGCATGAGAAAAATGGATGAAAATGTGATGACCCAAGATTTTCTGCCATGTCTCTGGCATCCACAGCTGCAGGAGGAAGCTTATCTATGTTAACGTGCTGAGAGTCTAATCCCAAACATTTGGACAGTTGATCCAGAAAGGAAGATCCCAAAACCGTGTGGAAAATCTGATCTTAAGTAAAAAAGACCAAAATCTAGCAAAGATCAAGAAATAGCCCTTCTGATATATGAAGAAAGGTTCAGAAAGCCAAATTCACCTTTTAAATTGGAAGCTGCATCCTTTTCAAGTTGTAGTGGGGACTCCCAAAAGTTTCAAGACAAGGCATTGAGGTTTTGAAAATATTTGCCAGGTATAGAATCTCATATATATAACAAACAATTTGCTTCAATTTCTTCCTAACTTTAGTTAAAAGACAAACCAGGATTACAAACCAATTGATCTGGTTTCCAAAGAAGAGATGACTTGTACAAACCACATTCATTCAGTCTGGATGTAAATTGGAAATGAGGAACATAATCTGAACTTGAAAGAGAAGAGGAAGGGATGTGGAGGAAGCATGCAAGCACATTTGTTCATGTAAGCCCAAATCATGATGTGGACTGACTTCTTGGGTGTATTCTAGATCATACTCACAACCAGATTTTTTTTGGGGGGGGGGGGGGGGGGGGAGCAGGCTTAGCAAATGCCCCCTCTGGTGGATTTCCTCATTGGGCTGAGGCAAGCTTAGCAAAGTAGCATTGCTTGCAGCAGCATCTGATGGCTGGGCAAAGACCTGCCATTCCAATTTCCACCAATGCCCAAATCTACCCTGGGGAATTGTGGGAAATTCAAATGGTCACTGCCAACTCCAGCCATCCAGTACTGATCAGGGCAGGTACAGGACACCAGCCCTGCTAGAGCAGCTGCCCAAGGGCTTCAAGTGCAGTTTCAGCCATTATCTGCTTGTTCACACTCACGCTCGCGCGCGCGCGCGCTCTCTCTCTCTCTCTCTCTCTCTCTCTCTCTCTCTCTCTCTGTGTGTGTGTGTGTGTGTGTGTGTGTGTGTGTGTGTGTAGAGAATGATGTTTTCAGCTCACTATTGGACTCACAGCAAGTTCCATTTTTTTCCTCCAACCTTAGACAGTAGGGGCTGGTCTAGAAGGGAAGCTGTGGACACTTGTACCTTCTTAGACATTAACAAATGCAAGGTAAGGACAGTATGCAATGCAATTCAGAATACAGCAAAAGAGTATCAAGTATGCTTTAGCTTGGTCCTCCCTCTGACCCTGTCCTTACCGATCCATAGCAGGTCTCTGTCCCATTCTGAGGCATGCACTCTGGATGACATGAAAAGCACTGTGTCCCGTTGACATATTCCCGAGTATCTCTGTAATTGCAAATTCAAATTAATCCCAAGTTAAGGCCATTGTTGCAGCTTCCCTTCACATCCCAGAGCACCACGGAATTTTACAATTCAAAGTCCATTGCTGCAATTCTCAGTAGAACAACTTCACAGTCAGGGTTGTAGAAAAAATGAGAGACATTCTAAAAACAGGCAGGTGATATTCATGACATTTCTATGGCTTTCCAACAGACCAAGAAAACACAGGAACTTTGGAAGACTTTGGAAAATTAAACAAGACTCAGCTTTCTAAAAAATATTAGCTTTCCTTTTTATGGGGGGAAAAGATCTAGATATTTTCTGGACCACTTCTCCATGCAGCAGCCTCCCAGTGATTGTTCCCTGCCACAGGTTTCTTCTGAGAAAGGCTCCTGTTCTGCATCTCTGTTGTCACGTACCCATCCAGAACATTGCAGCTCTCGACACATTCCTTCCCCCGCAGAAAGCCACTGCAGGACACACACTGCGTTGCTCCTGGTCCCCAGCAGTATCCCTTGGAACAGAGGGGGAAGCAAACCTGGTTTTGGCGTTCTGTGGAGAGATGATATAGGGCAGAATTTGTGACCCGTTAACCTGTTATCAGCACGTCAGGCAACTATCGGCACATCAGGTCAGCCCTGATGTTCCTCTTGAAAGTGGCAAGCCAGTGTCAGAAGGAGAGTCATAAAGAACTGTAACAAAACTGTCAGCGTTGAGTTCCATGCTCAACTCTCAAAGAGAGGCTGAACTCAACAGCAGTTATGCTATTGTTATTTTAATTTCTAACCTGCCCTATGTCCAAAGTTGTCTGGATGGGTTACAGCAGTTCATAAAAAGCAGACCATAATACAATAAAGCACTATTAGTACAATGCAGGTACAATTTAGTAGGTAGGACCATTTTTTATGCAGTTGACACAGGTGTTCTATTATGCCTTTAAGCATTCTTAAGATGCCATTCAGTCAGTGAAAAGGGCAGTCTTATCCTTGTACCAAAAAGAATTGATGCCAGGTGGGCCTCAGTAAGGATAGCATTTCACAATGGAGGGCACCCACTGGAAATGCTCTCTACTTATTACTGCCATCTGACCCTCACTTGGAGGTGACACTTGGAAGAAAGCCTCAGATTGTAGTGTCCAGGTAGAATGACTTGGGGAGAGGAGCTCAATCAGTCACTCTAGGACCTTTCCCAATAAAGGAATATTTGCTACCAGCCTAAAGTTGTTAAGATCTTCCTGGTCATCTTTCAAGTCACATGGGACCGCTCTTTGCAAGGAGGCATGACCACTTACCTGGCCTAACCCTACCTCCTAATTTTTATAAGCCAAGAGCAGCAAGGATCCAGTAGGGAAGTGGTTGCATGAACCTATGTCAACCTCCTTGAACTGTAGCAGCTGAAACTCACCCAAGAAAATGGAACCAGGCTGTGCTCTGGGTACTTCAGCTAATTCCACTGCCATAACACAGGAGTCTAAGTCCCAATGCATGTAAAGATTTGGTCCTGGAAGTACCTCACAAATGTATTACAGCAGGCCTCGGACAGAGACATAGTGTCCCTAAGGCTATGTATGCAATAGGTCCTGGACAATCCTAAAAAGCTCTGCTCAGTGACAGATAAAAAACTGGACAGGCACATTAAATTCATGTATTTATTTAATTATTTATTTACTACCCTCTGTGACCATAAGTGTATCTGATTATAGCACAGAACAGAATTTGATCATAACCATTAGAAGTTTTTTCCCATCTGCACTCTATTTGTCTAAATCTTAGCAGGTAGTGATCTGACCATGACAAAAGGACTGAAACAAAGTCCCTAACTTCAGGTCACCATCCTCGTGCCAAGCTAAAAGAGACAAGTCTAGAGTATGCCCTGATGTATGTGCTGAGCCAGTGCCAGGTCGGGACCGTCCCAGGCTTCTCGTGGAGGCTGTGAAGTCCCAAGCCACATGGATGCCGATGTCCCTGAAAATCACATCACACTCAAGACTACCTCTTTCAACTCCAGTAGATTCTGCTGGGTACTGGGGAGGGGACTATACCAGCAGATCTGTCCCACTGGTGCAACACAAGATGCAAACATTCCAGACTAGCGCTGCACCAGGTACCCCAGTGGACACAGCTAGGAGAGGCTGACTCCTCCCAGTTCACCCACCCTGGTCTCAGTAATAGCAGATCAACTGCCCTGTCCATAATTAAATTGTGGATAAGCGAGGTTTTACTCTCCATCAGTCTGGCAATGAAAAGCAGCACCTGAGAGGGCAGATGGATGGAGAAACCACCAAACCTGCAAGTGTTAGGAGGGAAGAGTACAGCACAGCATTTACTGTTAGAGGGTTTAGGCAAAACGCACAAGAGAGACAACTCTGGAAATGCTGAGAATGAGATTAAACAAAGGAATCAATATTTTGTTTTTTGGGGTGAACAGAAACTTTCCTTTAGATTCACAGGCTCATGATTAAATTTGGGTTGGATCATGAGGCGTTAGAAAAGCTAAGTTTCCAGGCGACCAACATTTCTTCATGAACCAAAGAGATGAAAAAGGAAGCCATGCAAGAGGTGGCAGCTGCTGTGCTATAGTGCCTACGCACTGACCTTCGGCTTAGTATCTCTTGAGTAAATTACCAATCACATTCTGGAAATGTAAAGGAACTAACAGAAAAACTTGCAAGATCTGTGTTGATTCTACAGTGATTACAAAGAGATCATATGGAGCATTAAGCATGTTCTAACAAAATTCCAAGGACAATTGTAACGAGGATCGATCTGGACTAATCCAGTTGCCGACTTCCATGGGGATCTGCCACTTGGAAGTGATTCTAATTATTCTTAGAAGATTTTACCACGTTCCTTTTCCAGTATCCAATCTGACATTCAATATAGCATCCATGAACAAGAGGGGTCTGGGGACGAGTCCCCAGAGTTACTGCAACTGGGTGCAGGGTATGCTGGAAAGGGAAACTACATCACTATATACCCCCACATCATTGTCCCCTGCTACAACAGCACCCCCTGCTGTGTACTATACTTCTACTAGCCCCAGGTTCCTCATGTCCAGAATACCTAATCAGTTAGCTCCAAATCCTGCAAGCTGCCCATCCAAGTGCCCTAAAAAACCCTCTTCCAGCTAACTGAGGCCCAGGGGAAGGTGTCCATTCAGAACAGTCTCACTCTAACCTGGTGAAAGCCCCATCTCCACATCACCCCAGCCTACAGCTTTTGGTCCCTCCCCTTCACTTGCTACACAAGGTTAGACCAGCAGATTTCTTCCCACTCAATATATATTAGAGCTCTCCTCTCACTAAAGGCTCAGAATAAAGCAGATGGATCCTCAATCTTGCCCAACCCAAAGGAGTGCCTGAAAAGGAGAACCCCCACTGACTGGAAAGGGCCCACCAGCCAGATGTTCTCCTGGGGTGAGGCTTGGTTTCTGAATCCACTCTGGACACACCCAGTTCTTATTTTCTAACTCTTTTCCTGGCCGCTCACCCCTGTCTAAGAGCCACAAGCCAACAGCCCTACCGCACTCATGCTGTAAAAAGCAACCCTGAATTCTTGCACGTTTGCTCACACCATGTACAGAGCTGCTTGCATTTTGATTCTGTCAATGAACTCCCATATGCTGAGCAGCACAGCTCCCATCCCAACCATTCCAAACATAGCAAGGTAAAAAGGTGACTCCCACCTCTGAAAAGGGTGAGGGGGGAGGTGTCTATAGGAATAGGCTTCACGCATACACTCACCACACTGTTCAGCTGGTTTGTTGTCATTCTGGAACAGTGTCTGCCGGGGTTTTCTGAAGATGTCTCCCCAAGGAACATTTTGGATGAAGCAAAGGTTCGGGTTGTGGTGAATAAGGACCATTCCACTGCTGATTTCTTGCAGTGAACGCAGGCCCAGTGAGGTGATGTTGAGGTTTTGCAATGTGAGGGAATAGATTCCACTACCAAAAGAACAAGTTTCCTAATCAGGAAGAGCAAGGGACCAATGCCAGAAACAGCCACCATGTCTATCAATCTAGCCATTCATCCAGTCTCTGCTGAACTAGAAGTTTACTAGCCTATGAACATCCCACTTGCCAGTTTTATTGTCTCGTCATCTTCATCATCATCATCAGCAGCAGCAGCAGCAGCAGCTGCTTCTCCATTACTACTACTATCATTATTACTATTATATGCTTCATTTCTATATAGCTCAATAGCAGAAGTTCTCTGGCCAATTTGTAACAGTTTATTTGCCAAGAAACTTCTCTTATGGAATATGTATAACTTCATCAGTCTTTTAGTCCATTGTAAAAGCAAGCAAAATATTCTTTTGAACTGATTCACTCGGAAACAGAAGTGGAGAGTCAGCAACAAACCCAAAGTCACTTCATTGTGAGCTTCATGACTGGGTGGGAAGCAGAACGTGGATCTCCCAAGTCCCAGTTCACAACTCTAACCACTATGCCACAGCAGCTCATACATCACACTAGTTATAGCCCCTCATGTGGGACTGATTTTATTAGGTCTGCCATCCTTTGGTGGAAGGCAAGCTACCAGGTTCTTTCCTCACCCAAGGCCAGCTCTTAGCTTCTGCACCACCTGCAAGACTAAGCCACGACAGGTATTTTCCCTTCAGGAGGAATGGCCAAAATAGCTATTGCTTCAAGCGGGAACAAAGAGCCCATGACCCTCCAAGCACTGGACTACAATTCTCATCATTCCTGACTACAATCTGTGCTGGCTGTGGCTGATCCAAGTTCTTCTCGCTCATCGGGAAGACAACAGGCTCTGCACCCTTGACTTAGGGGAAGCAATAGTCCTCTTGAACGTTCTTGAGGTGGTGCTTGACCAGGTGACCATATAAGTTACAATAAATACCTGGGCTTTGGTGATGCTCACATTCCTATTCAAATGTAGACAGATTTTACAAATTTCAGAAACAGATACACACTAGTGAAAACTGGCAGTCATGTAAGTGTACTTGTCAGTGTTCACTTGTGTGTGTGTAAAAAAGAGAAGAGGAATATCATGTATATTTGGAGAGCCACAAATTCATCTGGGTGGGCAGCATTCATCCATGCAAATGTTTGTGGCTTTCCTAAGACCACCTGGTGAGTAAGTTTGGATATAGATTTCCAGATGCATAGCTTAGTATCCTAGTTACACCACAGATACCACCTTTGTCAAAATGCTGACAAAACTTACTTGTAGAGGGCTCGCCCCCGGATCACCTGAAGATTCTGGAAGGGGCTCAAGTCTGAGAAGCTCCCTGGCCATGATTCAATGTATAAGAAGCCTATGAAAACACAGGTTGTTTTCTGTTCATCTGAGTGCCGTAGCATCTAATTTGTGATTAATTATGCTACCCCCATAACAGTAGAGTGACCCTTTTGTCTAGGGAAGTGGTGAGTAGGTCAATATTCAGAAATCATTTTTAGATACCTGTTAGATCCTTCAGGTTCTCAAAGGCTTTAAGGTGCTCAGGATTCAGGGGTGGGGTATTGGTGGAAGGATCCCTGGAGATAAAGGAAAGAAAGTGTATTACAGGAAAATGAGGGGCACATGCAAGGACACCTTAAACTGCTCCTCTACCCCTTGTTACATCAAATGTAACACCCTGGACAAGTTCAGCAACTGCTAATAGTTGCCAAAATCCTCAAGCCACACTCAAAGAAATCACAGTAACATTGTTGTAGGGAAATCTAACTGGAAGTGAATAAGTAACAACCCTGTCAAATACTTCCAAAGTTACCTGTTCTTCCACATGGAGATACAGTGATAAGAAGGAGTAGATAACCACTTGAGAGGTATTCATTGGTACATGTCACATTGCCAAGAATCCTGGCTTATCAGGATTGAATGATCAGACAGAGACACAAATTGCCCGATTGCTGCTTGGTTCTTGCAATCACGCACAGCTGAACAAAGCCTGGACTCCTTGTGATGTGATTATCATGACATTTATGTGAGGATTCTGGCTTGCCACTTCCCAGACAAGCCAGAGCCATAAGTCATGACTTCTTGTTAACTTATGAACAAGTTATTTGGAGAGTCACAAACCAGAATTCTGGTATGGATGTCATGAGAAATAAAACATAGATGGAAGACCCTATTTAGCTGCTTCCACTTGTCAAAGGAGGCAGGTGGAAGTGTTTGGGCACTGTGAACCTGCATGCCTGCTCAACCATGCTAAGCTAGGATTCTTAGCTACCACACCCCTGACTTATCATGATGCATAAACAAGGCCTGTGAATACTGTCTCCAATTCTTCTTTTTCCTTGGATTGCAGCTTTGAGGATAAAGGTGCAACTTTAGCCTGTCAAGCTTTTCAGCAATGTAATAAAACTGTTGGCATGTGGTGCTATTCGCATGTATGTATGTATGTATGTATGTATTTATTTATTTATTTTATTTAAGATATTTGTATGCCGTCCTTTGTGAGAGCCTCAAGATGGCTTACACAAATAAAATACCTATACATAAAAGTATAACATAAATAAATTAACGACCCACTCTGGCTGCAATTAAAATACTTAATAAAATTCAATATTAAAACTTGTTAAAATATTGATTAAATAAAAAGGTCTTAACCTGGCGCCGAAAAACATATAATGACAGTGCCAGGTGGACCTCCCTGGGGAGCACTGGGATGTTTTACCTTTTTCTCTGTGGTCATATGGCTTTGAACCCTCTATCTATCTATCTATCTATCTATTTATTTAGAAAGCTTAGTAAGCTTTCATTTAAAAATAAAAGAGGGCGGAGGATGCTAAATGTTGCAAGACATTCCTAATTTCTGAGGATGCTAGATTTTGCAACAACTTCCTAATTTAATATTTATATGGTACAGCCATGTGGAATATGCATATACAGGGCTTTTCATGGGACAATCTGACCACTAAATTTCATCCAAGGACAGAGAAAAGACTTTACATACAGAAACATTCCTACACAAACAAAAAACCACAGCAGCTCTTTACCCAGGGAAGAATTCTGGCTTCTGCTTAGTTTTGCAAATTGCATGACAGTCATTCATTCCTTTGAATCAAGTGCTGATTCAACCCTCAGACGTGACACTTCCCATACATTGTCTACCTTGAGCAAGGTAGAACAAAAAATATTTTTGAAACATCATACATAGGTTTATGAAGTTCGCTTCACCTCATTTAAAAGCAAGAACCAAGGTACATTTTTCCAAAAACTGCAAAATTGTTCAAGATATAACATCACTTGCCCAGCTGTTTTTGTGGTTTTTTAAAAGCTTGCTATAAAATAAAAGAAGTAGTTTTTTTGTAAACTGCTTCCATCACCTTTATAGCAGTTCATTTGCACAAATTAAAGCCAGGATTGCTCTGTATGGAACACTGCCATAGGCGTGTCAAACAATCTGATACATGCTTCACATGTGACTTCTCCGCTACTCACCCTGCAAAGGACTCTGGCAGAAAGGCTAAGCTGCCAAAAATCTTGGTGCAGCCAGCAAAGTGGTGGATGTTGGATGCATCAACAGCACGAACCCCTTTCAGGAACTCATTCCCCAAGCCATAGCAGACTGAGAGAGAGAAAGGTGTGCTATTTACGTATGTATTTATTAAAAGCGTTTCTAACCCATCCACCACGAATGTTTCAAGACAGCTTACAATAAGGGGAAGTACAGGTTTATAGATATTATAAGCCAACAGTGCAGAACAGCTAATGGGATCACCACATCACAAGCCCTCTACCTTTCACTGTAGGGTCAGTTTGGACATTATTGGGTGGCAAATAAGTTCAGGGCTATTTCTTAGCTGAAACCAAGGAGATTGACATTGAATAGTGTGGCAGGCCTGAACCCTAAAAAGCCAGGCCTGGGTCTCCAGCTATTTAAATGGCTTGCTTTGCTTTGATACTAAAGTATAGTGGCTTACAACAAACAACTGAGCTCTGCTTAGCAGCCCCCGACCCTGACAGCCTGCTTTCATAGAACTAAGGAGTTTCCCTTTCTGATATTAAGATGTCACAAGGAACACACACCCTGCACATCTGCAGCCTTGAGCGTTCCTTATGAGGCATAATTTCTGCAGGCAAGTGCCGATAATGAGCCTGTGCTTTGATGTCACACAGAGATGGAACCTGGGGCATCCAGAGGGAATTTTCCTTCCCACTTCATTATTTCTTAGCACCTCTGTAAGTAGTATCAAAACTATCTCAGTAATTATATCTTTTTATTGTGTAGAATGCTGTACACATGTGCTGAATACCGTTAAGTCTGTAATCTATAAAAGCAAGCCACTTTCTTTGTGCTCTGGTGAGGGGGATTCTGTTTCTATCTGAATCCAGCTGATTGGAATCCTACCTTGCCGAGGCCCTCACTGCATGGGGCAAGAAGTTTGCTGCCAAATGTTTTAAAGTCTAGTTGGTTTGGATATTATTGCAGTAATAAATAATCCCCTTCTTAGTGAACCTGGAGTTGGTGTATCATTCTCTGGAAACCCCAACAAACTACTGCCCACACCCAGGGCAACACAAATAGTTATGCTCAAATAGAAGGGTAGAGTCTAAACTGAGCAAAAAAGAAAATGTGCATCCACTTCAAAATTCGCTGCAGCACCCACAAGTCTTCTCTAGAACTCCCTCCGGCCACTTCTGCAAGTAGAGATGATGCTCTGGGTTGTTAGGGACAGGGTTAATGGAGATATGTATGATGCAGTACGAAGGCTGGTATTTAACTGGAAATACAGAATCAACCTGCTAACAGCCAACCAGTCCTTATAATCACAGAATAGTAGCGTTGGAAGGGGCCATGAAGGCCATAGGGTCCAACTCCCTGCTATTGCAGGACACCACATTACACCATCCCACTCAGATGGCTGTCCAGTTTCTTTTTGAACGTCTCCAGTGCAGGAGAGTCCACCGCCTCCCTAGGCAGCAGGTTCCACTGTCGTATTGCTCTCAGTGAGGAAGCTTACCTTCTGGGCAGGGGTTGTTGCATTTCTCACACTTCTGCATGGTGCCCACACTCACTTCCTGGCTATTTGGTGGACACACCAAAGTACAGGAGCCAAGTTCTGCAGCCAAGTAATTATCTGTCATCAGGCAGAGAAAGCAAATGAGTACTTAATAGTCTAAATCTTCTAAACATCACATACATGTACTGTTTCAAGGAGTCGGTTTCCAGTAAGACTCACACACAGCAACTATAATGTGAAAGACAAAAGGCCTGTCAATAGAAGTTTCCAGCAGCTCGTCAAGGTTTATAGTATTCCTGTTTCCCTAGAGTTTTTTCAGATGCTAATCCTTTTCCAGAAGTAGCATAATAGCTGGGAAGGTTAATATTTAGTGGCCAGGTTGAGTTATGCAATGGGGAAACAAGACATAATTTCTACATGTCTTGGAAGTTACAAATGGTCATGGGTTTCCAGCATGTACATAGCATGTGTACTACATGGGAAGTACATGCTATACTCTACAATGAATATGCCCATTTTTGTCATGTCTGAAGTAGCTCCAAGATGTCAGAGCCACCGAAAAAAAGGTTCAGGCAAAAAGCATATGGAACTCTCCTTTCAGAACTGTACCACCTCAAGGTGTAGGTTGGTAACTGCATGTTTGAATATGCCTCCAAATCTCAAAGCCCCTGCACATGGAAAAAATGCATGCCAGGGCAGCAAGGATAAACCTTCTCTCTTAGAACTGCTGTTTTCTGCATAGTGGTTTTACGCTTTTTAAAAAGACTTGAAAAAACATTGAACGTGATGGACTTCTCAGTGCATTCTGAAGTGGTTCAGTCTTCCCAGGATTATAACATTCTTTTTCTGAACATTTAAAACTCTTCTGAACTGCAGAATGGGTAAACGTATCTTCAAACATCTCAGAAAAGAGGTTTAGGGACTACATTGGAGAGCTCAAAACAAGAAAAGTCGGGAGAGCTATGGGCTTCCTTCCTTTGATTAGCAGGATTAGCACGTTGGATTACAGGTCTCCTTTGGTCTCACCTAGCAAGGCAGTTCTTATATTCTTTCGTCCAGGCCAATAGCCAGGCTTCTGGTATAAATATATTGCGTGACCATTCTAAAGACCTCTTCTCACCTGCCTATCAAGAATGTAGACACGGGTATTCTGTTTTTTCTCAAGACCATCTGATTAATCAGGCAAGCTCTCACCCTTTGACAAAGAGAATCCTTTAAGGCAATTTTCTTTACTCATGATGGGGTGGGAGGGGGGACAGAAGAAAAGATACAACAGTATAATCCTTGCTAAGGTGGTAAAAACCAGTGGGGTGGGCTATATCACAGTTGACTACAGATAGGGACTTGAATCATTGAACGATCCTCCATATTTACAAGTCTGTACACAACAGTGTAGGATATCAAGCGGTTTGCTCCAGTTTAAGAACATCAAAAATTGGAATGTGTCCAATAGAAATTGCTAAGGGGCAAGGACAGGTTGAAGGAGTTGGGTGTGCCTAAGATTGCCATCTTCATACATCTGAAAGGTTGCCACATGAATGATGAAGCAAGTTTGAGTTGCTCCAGAGGGTAGAAGCCAAACCAAGGGGTTTAAATTGCAAGAAAAGGAACCAGACTGAACTTTAGGAAGAATGTCCTGATGCTGTGAACAGTCTGACTGCAGAACAGACTGCCTTGCCCTGTGGAAGACTTTCTTTCAGTAAGAAGAGGCTGAATGGGCCCTTCCAGCACCAGCAAAGTGTTGACCTAGATTTGCTTTGAGGCCTTTTCCAATTGTGTGAGTCCATGTGTATGGAATATCTTGCATGGAGATACTGCACCTTCAATTGTGTGAGTCTCCAGCTTGAAAAAAAAGTGAAGCCTCCCAGATGAATACAGGCTTTCAACACAAAGCTATTAATTTCCTGTATCCTTTTTATTTATCACATTTATATCCCACCATTTTTCTTGTGAAGAATCCAAGACAGCTTACATAGTTCTCCTCCTCTTCCTTTTATCCTCACAACCCTGCGAGGTAGGTTAGGCTGAGAGTCAGCGACTTGCCCAAAGTCACCCACTAAGGTTTATGGCTAAGTGGGGACTAGAATCTGGACAATCGAGTCCCAGACTAACAGTCTCACCACTATGCCACATTGTCTTTTTCAGTTTTGTCACAGAATGAAGATTAACTACTACAAAAGGCACATTTCATTTCCTGCTTTTCTACTACATAACCGCTTGGTCGCCCCGTGATACAGCAAAATAGGGAAAACATACAAGTGAAAAAGCATTTTCTTTCATTTTAACACGTGAATCTGGTATTTTCCCTGCTCTGAAAAATGTGCTGAAAAGGCTTTTTAGTCACCAAAGTGCAACTGGAGGGTCACCGTTTTGAATAAACAAGTTATAAACAACCATGCATCTGGTATGATAAAAGTATGATAAATGCTGTATGTATTAGGACTAAGCAAAAGGTTATAAATATCCTAAGTCATTTTTGGCTCCCAAACCTGCCCTCCACAAACACATACAGACATCCACACATACAAAACAGATGGGATGACAGAGCCTTACATGGGCATTCAGTGACACAAGTTGCTCCAAAAGTGTATCGCCCATCCGGATTGATCATAGACTCATAGGTGTCTGGTCTGTAGTGTGTGAGAAATGGGCAATGCAGTTCACAGATCCCACTGTGGTTGAAGTTTAGGCAGGCCTGGAGAAACAGAAAGGGGACAGCTTTGTTTTGGTTTTTAAGGGAAAATGCACTTTGAGAGGATTACTGTTAGAAGCACAGCATGCAAAAACCCAGGGGACAACATTCTACAATAGCAGACATGTTAATCTTTCCGATAAAAAGCAGCAAAGCTTTGTGGCTCCACAAAGACTCATTACTTCTGGCAACAATCTTTCTGCAGACAAGAACCATTACTTTAATGGCACAGCCTCTAAAGCTGTTTCTTATATGAGTTCCTCTCTTCAGAATGCTGAGATGTTCCAGGGCAGCACTGCAGGGCTTTTGACAGAGAGAAAGCAGTGGAGTCTCTTAATATTTACTCTGCAAGCACAGGATAGCTGGAGATAAACACATAGTCCTGCAGCAGGCAGTAGACACTGAAAGAATAGCCTTCCCATAGTCAGAGTATACATCCCTGATCCCTGCTAACTCCAGCTGGAATTTGTTAGTTCAGGCTCCCAGCCTGTCCCTGTCCTCCTCTTGCTCACTCCCACTGAGTACTGATCTCCAGCCCAGACGATGAACTGCATTAGCAACCTTGATCAAAGGCCAATGGGACATCCTGGGTTATTTAGCTAGCGACCTGCCACCTAAAGAGAGCTGGCAACACCTTGGCCAGGTAGGGAACTGAAAAGCCAGTCAGCACCTGATGCTAACAGATCCAGCCATCTCCTGCTAGGTTCCACCAAAGTTCGCCCCTGAGTTGCCCATCTCTTTCCCCTAGCATGGGGAGCAGGACCAACATTTTTGGAGTGGAAACCTGGCCCCTTATGTGGCAAGTGGGGAAAAGCCATCCCAGGATGGACTAGGCACCTCAGGACATATACTCACCAGGCAGTCGGAGTGTTTGGGTCCTGTGCAGCCGGCTGCACACTGCTCGTGACAGCAATCCGTGGGACGTTCCCCCTTGCACCTTGGACAGCTGCTGGCACAGATAGTGCTTGTCACTGGCAGGGGCAAAACAGAAAATGGAAAGGTGAGACACATGCCATCGTCATGCCCCTTTCAGACTCCATGAGGTTCTTTTCTTGCTGATCCCTTTCAGGAGATGATGACTTGAATCCAGAGGTGCAACCGGCACCATGCCATGATGCAGCAGCACTGTGCAGAGGAAGTTCTGTTCCTTCCCTCACAGCCCCCCAGTTCCCTTGGGTCACCCCAGCTCTGCTCTGTTTATTCTACTGCCCTTCCCAAGTCCCCTCCTCATACCAGGCAACAGCATTCAAATCCATCCCTTCTTTCTGTTGTTTTGGTTGGCCAGCACTACTTGAAAGGGCACCTGAACCCAGATGACGCATGACCCATCATGGGGCAAGCCCAACTGCAAGCGAGGCCTTGACAAGAGTTTTCAAATGTAATACAAGGATGACTTTTGGTATGTCCACTTGAGGAGAGGCATACTGTGTGAGAGCTAGTGTGGCGTAGTGGTTAAGAGCCTGGGACGGGGACTCAGACGATCTGAGTTCTAGTCCCCGCTCAGCCATGCAGCCAACTGGGTGACTTTGGGCCAGTCACAGACTCTCAGCCCAACCTACCTCACAGGGTTCTTGTTGTGGGGATAAGATGGAGGAGGAGATGTAAGCTGCCTTGAGCCCTTTGTAGGAAAAAGGCAGGATATAAATAAATAAATAAATAAATAAATAAATAAATAAATAAAACTGCCTTGAGCCCTTTGTAGGAAAAAGGCAGGATATAAATCAATCAATCAATCAATCAATCAATCCCAAAATTCAACATTGTACCACTTGGCAAAATCCATTTTCCAAACATTTAACAAAGCAGGGTAGGCATTTTGGTTTTGCTTCGGCAGATAGTCCTCCTTATAAGACCACTTGGCCTGTCCTTGTACACAGACCATTGGGTCACCCAGTCCAGGATTATCCACTCAGACTGGCAGTAGATCTCAAACAGGGATCCTTTTCTATGAGATTTCTATACATGGGAGCCTTGAAATGAACTGAACTGGAGACCTTTGACATGCAAAGTGCTTTCTCTACAATTGTCAACCATCGTGCATAAGACATATCCTCCCCCAGATCCCAAACAGTTGCTACTCTTACTCACATGTCTGACAACTCTCTTTTGTTTCTCCCCAGCAGTGGTTATTGGGGCAGATCTTGCTGCAGTCGGGGCCTGGTGGGAAGGAAAAAGACTTCCTAAAGCAGATAATATATGCAGAAAGGGAGTAGAAAAAGGGACCGGAAGGTTCTGAGATTTGCTGTCTGGGAAGCTTTATCAATAAGCCGTGAAGGGTATGTGTAAGCCAGGGCAGAATGCAGTAGTGGATACACAGTTCAGCTTCCTTGGAACATCTGGTTTTATTTTTTAAAGGAAGTTTCTAGCCCTTATCAATGAAATGGTAAATTTGAGAGTGTGAGTGGGCTATGCCTGTGAAACCTCAGATGTCAGAGATGTAGCTGATTAGGACCCTTAGTGACTGGGGGCTTCGGGGTTCTGCAAAGGAGGATAAAACATATAAAAGATTTTTTTTAAACACTGTAGGATAAATTACAGAAAAATAAGAGAATGTAAGAGAATTTTTGCCATTTCCATAGACAATGCAAAATATAGAACTTGCCCTTTCCTGTGCGGAATTTATGCTGACTAGACATGGAATATGCACAGCCCCTATGGTGGCCAGGGATCCAAGGTCTACAGGGAGGTCCTGCCAAGAGTCCAGAATGCTCACCCCTTCTCACCGGCTGCATCAGGGGCCACAGGTAGCCACTAAAGGGCAAGCAATAATCTACTGAGAAGACAAAGTTTAAGACCCTGTGACTTCCAGCCTTTGGTTTGTTTATGTTTTCACCACCTGTGGATGTGGAAGTATCCAAAAGTATCCCAAAGCTCAAATACCAGAAGGTAGAGATATGATTTCTAGAGTCGTGGGTGCCTGCAAAAGTATTTTTCCCCTTGCTGTGGCTAGCAAGAACAGAATCAGTCGACAATTGGTATGACAACCTGCTACATTTGCCTAACTTATACAAGAACATAAAAACATAGGTCTGATCCAGCATGGCTTGTCTTAAGTCCAGCACTCCATACAAATGGGGGCAAACCAGCTGCCTACAAGATCCTTCAAGCAGGATAGATGCAAGACCTCCTCCTACCCAAGCTCTTCAGCAACTGATGTATGCAGGTATGCCGCATTGCTAAAAGAGGTAGCACATTGTCAGAAAGGCTAGCCGAATTCAGAATAGAGTTTGTTTGGGAGCCCAAATTTTCATTTTTATCACTCAGAATGCATAGCTTTCATGGAAAACTAGAACCTTGAGCTTTATCCAGAAGATAATGAAAGAAGAAATCACTAAAAAAAACGAAGCAATAATCTGATGTGCTCCAAGCAACCTGGCCCCATAAATATAGGATTACTTTGGTGCAGAACCCTACAACCCCAGGAGGCCCAGAACCTAAATGATGTTACTTACACATCCTAAGACGATGGCTGCTGATCTCTGTGGCGTTGTGCAAATTGTACTTGTGGAAGATGGCTTCCCAATTGATGGTCTCCTGGAAGCACAGCTGTGGGTTCCTGTCTATAATCACTCCACCTTTCAAGATCTCTGATGAAATAGGGAGGAAGAACAGGACGCAAAGATCAAAGTGTAACCATTTCTGTTTGCTTGCTTTCTAGAGAGTGATTTGTGCAATCTACTAATTTATTTCCAAATGCATAACTCTTTGGTTGAAATAAAAGATATAATGAATAAAAGATATCATATAATGAAAGATATAATAAAGTTGGCTTTTATATGGTGCTTTCAGAGCAATCCTAACCCCCAGGTCTTCTGGCTACAGGAGGTCAGGATGGGATTGCAGTGCCTCTCCATCAGCAGGGAGGAGTTCCAGCAGCAGTGAGAGCACACCTGCCACAGAGGCCTCAACTGTACCTGCGGAAAACTCTATGGATGTGAAGGTGTCACCTGCAGTGTCCCCCCACCCCAGCAGTTGGCTAAAAATAGGGTGTTCTGCAAGCCAGTTTTAAAATCTTCTGGATTCAGGGACTTCTGTTCTCTCAAAAGGCTTGGAAGGGGGAGGGACAACTTCCCTTCCCCCTACCAGTCCTGAAAGGCATGAGCCAGAAGGGCTTTTGAAAGGGCAAATAATCTGCCACTCCCCCCCCCCACCCACAGTTTAGGGTGGTGCTCTTAGAGCCTTCTTTTCCACTTTGGTGCCTTCCAGATGGGCTGGGCTGCCACTTTCATCTTCCTCAGTCAAAAGGGCCAATGATTCTGCAGCTACCCACCATTGGTGGCCCAAACACCAAAGCCCATCCTACCCCCTCCGCATTCTCCCATCTCACTCTTTCACTATTTGAAGGTGTGTACTGGGTCTGACTATGTTTCAGGCTTTTTTACAACACGCAAGGTTTCCACAGGAGTCATGCAGATGTTCCTAGGCAGAGAAATAAGTTGGGAAGATAGAAAGTTTGAAAACAATTGGTCTAGATCCTGGGTGGCTTATCTGCAGCCTTGGAGCCATGGATTGCATAAGCAGCAGTAAATTGTGCGTGAACTCCCAGGCCTCATCATATCACAGATTCAAGCCTTCGTTTCGGCCTGCCTCTCTTCAACTACACTGCACCCAGCTCTCTGGCTCACTAGTCCAGAAACAAAAACACCCCATGGCAGTTGCAGGTGTGTACATATTGTTGGGCATGCTAACTAGAATGGCAGCGTCTCGTATTCTGAATACAATTTGTTGGCACCCTTGCCAAAAAAGGTTGGCCACCACTGGTCTAGATCCTAGAAACAAACAGCAAAAGGAAAACATGCCCCTAAAAGTGCTACATAATTAACTGAGTCATACAAATAAAGATTAACGACAAATATTTTGAATTAAAACATTTTTTCCAAAGTTCAACATGGAAAAAATGTAATTACAGTCTCATTAAAGAAGTTGCCAGAGTAATATACTGGAAAATATTTATTTTTATAGCATTGACAACATAAACGCATTTATTATACTAAAAAGTCTGGTTTCCCCTAGCATAGGGGGTTTTAAGATAGTTACAGCATAAAGCTACTGAAGAAACTGTGTCTGAGATGGATGTGAGCCCTGGTTCATATATTAAGATAACCCAGAATACAGAATGAGTACAGGTTGTTGTTAAATCATGGGTTGTTGTTGAACCATGTGTTGTCATTACATATGAACTCTGCACTATGGTTTAACTACTGGCTATCAACCAATGAACAACCCAGAATTTAGAACTCAGTAAAAGACCATAGGTTTGTTTTCCAGGTTATTCATGTTTATCAACCCATGGTGAAACAATAGTGCAGGCTTTGTATGTAATGGCAACACACAATTCAAGATCAACCCATGATTTAATGACAACCCCTACTCAACACCTACTCTGGGTCGTTGCTACACGTGAAGATAGAGAGGTATGGTTTATGCTACATGCATGTATAATGTTGCCTCTATTGCACATCCAATGCAATGTGAGAAGCAATGTTTGCAGCAGCATGGAATCAAAGACTGACACCAGATCCGAGCTAATCCAACGTCACCTGTCACTTTGTTTTGCTCACTTACAGGCACTAATGTGCGTTGTGGATCCAAATTTAGTCCCACTTGGGTCCCAACAAAACCAAGGAATAAGTGAGTCATGAATTGATTTCAATACAATGCAAAGGCCTAGTCTGGCACCATGCCAGTCTCATCAACAGCCACTGCCCCATTTCTGTCAAATTATCCAGTCCTCCTTTTCATACCTGTCAGTTTTGACATGCCCAGCTTCTGCAGTCCCACGTGCCCACTGGGGTCAGCATTGTCAAGAACAGCCAGGGCGTACTTCTCTTCATACAGTTGGGTCCCACGAATGATCAGAAGGTTCTCCAGCTGCAAATGACGGACATGGTTCTTGGCAATCAGCACGTGCCCCTGGACCTCCCTGATGTCCTGAGAGAGGCAGAGAGGGAAAGAGCAAGGGATCAAGAAAAGTAAGTGCATCTTGATACTGAGAACTGGCCATAGTTCATTTAGACCAGGGACTGGGGACCCATGCCTTTCAGATGTTGCTAGGCTACCATTTCTACTATCCCTGACCATTGCACCTGCAGGACGAGGGGTTGTGGTCCAGGAGCAGTGGGAGGGCCACAGGTTCCCCATCCTGACAGACGAACCACACAAGAAGGAGGGGATCACTCACACCTACTCAAGCCAAACCACCGCACAGAACAAGGATATCATTTAGGGAGTGTCATGGCACAGGTGACTCACCTTGGCAGTCCCTGCCCCAGGAGCACGTAGAGTCCTGGCAGCCTCATTTGTAGGCTATTGTTACTCAAGTCATTTCTTACTTATTTACATAGTTTATCTACTCTGCACTGTGAACATAAATTTAGGTGTCCAGGGCAGTCAGCAAAGTAGCACTATATAAAATACAATTTTAAAAAAATATATGATACTCTTTATTTATTTACATTCATATCTCACCTTTTTCTCCTTTCAAGGAACTCAAGGTAGCTTATATCAGTCTCCTCCTGATCTCAGTCTTATTCCCAAAACAACAACACTGTGAGGTAGATTGTGACTGGCCCAAAGTTACTCAGTTAGCTCTTTGGTTGAGTGGAGACTAGAACCCAGATCCCCTGAGTCCCAGTCCCACATTCTTAACCACTGTATCACAGTCTCAGTATGCAGTCCTCACTGAGACTGCAGACTGCAAACTGACTCAACCAACTAGCCAGTAAAAATTAAAAAATGCTTTTTTAAATTGCTAAAATTAGCCCTTCTTGGAAGCCTGAGAGAACAAAAATGCTTTTTGCCTGGAGCTTAAGTGGTGGGAATATAGTTGGCAAGCAGATGGCTTTGAGGAGGGTACTCCAAAATCATACTGCAGACTGTAGGGGTGCTCATGGAATAAACTGCAGTCAATGGATCAGCCTTGAGAAGGTGGTCCAACAAATACCAGGGTCCTAAGCCATGAAGTGTCTCAAAGATTAAGAACAGAATGTCAAATGCATTGATGATGCTAAGTATGCATACATATATTACCCATTACAAATGCTCTTAATGCTCATTGCTTTTTCTTCTTGGTAACTTAAGTATGTCCAAGAGCAACCCTTGCTGTGCTATTTATTGTAAGCCATCCCAAAATGTTCATTAGGGGATGGGATAGAAAAGCTTTTTAATAAACAAACAAACAAATAAATATTTGCCCTGCTCCCTTCCATCTCCTGCCACTGGAATTCAAAACCATATACCTGGACAGCAAATAACTCCAGAAAGCTCAAGCGAGCAGCCCAATCCACTTCCTCCAGAGTACATATCTGAAAAAGTCACACATCTGAACTTATGCTACCAATATTCACTGAAAGAAAAGGAAGAGGGAATGGGTCTACAGCTCTTATTCATTCATTCATTCTCACAGCAGTCTTACAAGATAGGTCACTGCTGTTTGCCATTCTGCAGATGGAAATGGAGCCTAAGCTTGCCCTTAGCTGCTCAGTAAATAAGTATGCAATGCAGATTGCATGGGTCCCATCACCGGCCTGTTGTCCAGCATGGTCAAGGCTACATCTGCTAATATAATCTTGCTCACTTGGAAGTATGATCACAACATCCCAAATTAGTGGGGCCCTTTTTGAGGAAGTGTGTGGTGGCCAAGGGGGTCCCCATAGCCCTGCTTAGGTTTAGCAACACCTTACCATGTGTCATAGTTCTGCTGCGCGAAGAGCTAAATGTGGAATCATTACAGCTCCATGTGACTCCTGAACTGGAGGGATCTGTTTTCTAACTCCCAGTCTTCAACTTTCTCTCTCTAGATCTTAACTGAAGAGAGAGCCAATCCAGGTGCAGGCCCCTACCTTCCCTGTTCAGATAAAGAGAAGCCATCTTGAGAACCACTTATTTACTTCCTACATCACACCTACCTTGAGAAAAGATGTGTCCACATTTGCTGGCAGATGTGTGATCTCCAGGTTGCCTTGCACAACTTGACAGTGCTCATAAAGCCGACGGAGGGTTGCATAGTGGTTTTCTGGGCTGGAGGGATGCTGCAGCTTCATGTCTGTCCCTGTGCAGACTATGAGAGAACAGAAGAGAAATGCAAGTGAACTGGATGAGCTGTACCAGAATGGTGAGGAGGTTATTAAAGTTCAACAGGTAGTAAACTTTCACAGCGTCTAGGATAGTTTTCTTGGAGACATGCCATGGTCTTAGCTACAGTTTCAGTTTGTACTACTCAGAAACAGCATCAGAGATAATTGCCTTACAGCCCTTTTCCCCAATTATATTCTGTAGATAAGGGCTGCTTTTCCTGTGAGAAACAAAACTGTTTGCTTTATTAAAGCAGCTTTGCCCCCACCCCTTCCCTTACTTGTCTCTCAGGAAGGGGAGTTAGTTTGTGGTTTATTGACCACCTCTGAAATGGAGTGGGGGAACAGACCTATAAGACCCATAGCTAGCTAACTATTAAGTTAAGTGCTTAGGTTTTTGACTTTGGTTGAAGGAAACATCAGTTACCTAGAGCCCTGGAGCAAGGACTGTTGTACTACAACTGAAGGCACATGTATAGGCTTATCTTGGCTTGTTTATTGATTATTGCATCCGTATTCCAACCTTGTGTTCAATGGTTTCATTTCAACTTTCACACAAGTGGTTTGTCTCTTCCTAACTAGCCTTGGTTCTAAATTAAGGATGCCACCCCTGGATGAAGTCCATGGAGCAATGCAGCCAGCAAAGGTGAACTTAGGAGGAAGTAGGGACCACCTCAGCAAGGAACAAAGATTTTAATTTATTTGGCTGGGGTGCAGGCAGGATGTTTGGTTGCTTAGGAAACTAAGTACAAATCTGAATATCTTGTTTCAAGTGCCTTTGGAAGGCTAGGTTTAAGCTGTTACAGATTTACAATGTAAAATATTCCATATACAGGCAGTCTCTGGGTTATGAACAAGTTCTGTTTCTGAGAACATCTTTAAGTCAAGTGTGTGTTGAAGTCAGTTCACATATGTATGAGTCGTGTTTAAGCCAAATGTTTGTCTTAGCATACATACACATTTAGCATACATATGTCTTAGCATTCATACATACATACATATTTTATGTTTCTAAGCATATACAAGGGGTCTTCAAAAAGTTTCTGCACTTTTTAAAACTCTATTTATTAAGAATTTCAAAACAAATCACATTACTTTTCTACAGTCACCTTCTTTTGTGATGCATTTTCCCAGTACCAACTTTTTAATGCCATCAGCAAAAAATATATGAAATATATTTACAAAATATAAAAGTGCAGAAACTTTTTGAAGACTCCCTCATACAACACTTAAGAAACACTTCCATATACAGACAGCCTTCCACATTCATGGGGGTTTGGGGTGCAGGACACCTGCAAAAGTGGAAAAATGGCAAATAATTCTACCCACTCCCCAAACCTTAACTCTTAATACTTTTGACCATACATGTACTGGACTGCTTCTCCCTCTCTCACACAGATCTTGGTCTGATCCAGCAGGGCCCCTCTTCTTCATTTCTTCCATTCTTATGTTCTTACTCCCCCGTCCCTTTCATTCATTAGCACCTCCTCTTTCCACCAAGGAAATGCCAGAAAGATTTTGCTCTCTGGATGGGCAGGGCAGGAAGGCATGCTTTGGAGGCCTCCCTCTCTCCCCTTTAGTTTCCTTTCTCTCTGTTATTGGCAATTTTCTGCAGTAGGCTGCAAAACTCCAGAAGTTCCCATGTTTATTACTAAGAATTGTTAGTCTTTAACTCAAATTTTAAAATTAGTAGGTTTTACGGCAGTTCGTTTGTAAGTACGGATTTTGCATATTTTGAAGATACCATGCATAAAAGCATAACATTTGGAATAGGACAAAAAGACTGTCTTGAGCATGTCAGGGTTTTTCCCTTTCTACTTTTCAGAGTATGTGCTTAACCCTTAAGATGACTAAGATGAACCAAGAAGTATGGGGACAATCCACTGTAAAGTCACAGAAGTCCAAGGGAGGGTTGAACAAGTTCTGTGGTAGACAACTTTCTGTGCTCTGTATAATTATCCACCTTTTCCTGTGACTAACAGAAGCAGAATAAATTTGAACATCTAAGCAGATATGTACACATGTGATTCTGTGTTTACAAACACATTCTGTAGTTTGTAAAATTGTACAGATTAATTTTACAAACTACAGAATTCAGTTGACCCTACGATCTATTGATGAATTGCCCACCCACATACATAAAACAGTATAGAGGTTGAACATCACAAAGTAACTTTGTTATCTACCAAGTATCCAAAGTCAGGAAGAGATAGACTGTATGATTTCGACTTTAAATCTGACTTGGAGGAGTAAGAGAGTGCGCGCTTGGGGGGAAACAGCTCTGCCCTCCCCATTCACCACCTCTTCCTTGGTCGGCACTGCATTCATGAGAGGTGCTCCGGTGCTGCCAAGGAAGCCGGGGAGGGGAAAGACATCTCAGTAGGAGCCAGCTGGGAGCTGCGCCATGCTGTGTCCACCCCGAGTGGCACCCTTTAGACTGGGCCTTTTTCTGCTGTGTCCTGGTGTAGGGAAAATGTTGAGGTGGGGATGTTGACTATGTTTTCTAGATCTGTGCTGGTGTGTATGGGATTTTTTTGGGGAGGGGGAGTAGTTGTATTTCATTATTTAATATTATGAATGCTATTGTATTAAGTTACTTTGTTTGATTTTGCATTGCACTGATGCTAATATTGTATTTGCTATGAGTATAGTATTGTATTTATATTGATTTTGTAATTTTGCTATTGTAAATTTCTGATTATATTACTGTATTTATTTTGCATCCTGTCTTGCTGTAAGCCACCCAGAGAGCCCTATGGGCAGCATACAAATGTAATAAATCAAATCGGCTCAATCCAAAATGAATGCAATCACTTGTAGGGCACACGGTAGGTTTGCAAAACAACCAGTCCACAGTGGCTCATTGGGAGAGTGGATTGTGCACCATGCAAACATATCCTGTGGCTTTAAACAGCTAAGAAGTAGGTAATAATCCAACAGGTGACATTCCCTCCATTGCATGTCCATGCTGGGGACATAAAAGAAGCAGTGCTAAATTCTATTTTCATATACTGGTTTAAACTCTGTGGCTTTTTTGGCTTCAGTAATCTAGCATGCAATTCATTCCCAGAGCTTGGAATCAGCCCAAGCCAGGCAGGAACTTCTCTGATCTTTTCCAAAAGCCTGATACTTCCTGTGCCTCCCATTATTGAAAACTTAGTCAACCAGCATTCATGTCCCCATGTATATTCATTGCCTCAATAAAAACCTCCCCCAGATTCTTGACACCTAATACAACACAGAATTGCCCATTTCTGTAGGAAATGCCATGTTCTTGTCTTAACTTGATGGCTCATTTCAACAACTTCCTATTGATTTCCTGGATTACTCCAATTTGTTCTGGGAGTCCCTGAAAGTAGAAATCATTACACCTTGTGAGTTACTCCCTGAAACGTAACAGTTTTGAAAAAACTGGCATTTAAGATGCATTATCTGATTTTTTTTAAAAGAACTGTTCATTCAGACTTAACATTCTGTGATGACATTTGGTTTTTCTTAGCAAATAGAAATAAATCAAGCTAATTGGGAAGATCAGCAATAAACCTTCATATAAACCAAACGGCTGAGAACTCTTATATAAATGATATTTAACACACAAAGGTAAAAACAATTCATTTAGGGTATAATCTAGTAACCATCCAAACTCAAGAGAATTATGGGCATCCTATGAAGTGTGGAGTTAAAGGATATCTCAGTTTTACTACCACTCTGAAAAGCATTGAGAGGGTCAATTTCAGCTGTCTACGTGTGGCATGTCAAAGTGGGAGGGAAGGAGGCTGAGGCACTGGCAGGACATGTCTTATCTTGTGGTGCCCGTTTCCTCTCCTCCCCACTCCCCTTGTATGCCCCCAGAAGACTTCTCTGAGATCACTATTACAGCCCCAATTGGGGATACTTCCTCTGATTTACAGCTGGTGTAGTTCTTTCCAGACTGGCTGTAACGAGGGGGAGGGGATTTGCACTTGAATCCCCTTCTATAGTGGCAGAGTACTTTTTCCACCTTGTAGCTGGGAATCCTAAACCTACTGCGGCTGTGTAGATGCTACCTGGAAATCATAGAATTGTTTTGCCAATGTTTTTGAAGATATACTGCATTTTGAGCATGTACAAATTTCATCAGGTGATACAAAAAATACAAGCTGGATCTTCAACAAAATACTGCAGTGTGCAGTTTCCCTGTTCAGAATGTCTGCCCGCCAGCCATGCTCTTTTCCAAGATACTCCATTCCATTTCTCCCTGCGTTTTCTGGTTCTTTCCCTGCTCCAACAGTCAGTTGACAGGCTATACATACTCAGTTCACACGATGCTGCTTTTGCCCACCTTAGCTTTCCCCACATCACTAAAGCCCACACCCCCATATAGGCAAGGCTTGGGATTTCCTGGAGCCTACCCAGACTTCCTGCTTGCACGTAGATGATACTATTTTGGTTATATAAGAATTCACATTCAGAGAATGAGTTCACTATTAGCATGCAGGGTTGTATAATGTGGTCTCTTAATTAGAGTATTTCAGTATAAGAGTCACAGAGGCTGGGGTTACACATCATGGCAAACAACCTACACGGTTTCTACAGCGTGCAGATTTCTGCACACACTTACCAGTCAGAGGATTGCTTGATTCCCACAGAAATGCAGTTTCTGTGCTCTCAGCCCTGTCCTCCTGCTCTCGCCATGCATCCTAGGAGCCCCCATAAGCAAAATCTATCTTACACGGTTGCTCCCTATGGACTTCAGCAGCCTTGTCCAGAATGGTCTGCTGAGATTTTGAGGCAGGTTCTCCCTCTTTATACCCTGAGTATACCTGCATCTGTGCAACACCTTCTAGTCACACCAGCCTCCAAAGTATTTTTTAATTAAATCACAACAAACACTTTTGCCATGATTCCCCTTTCTCCATCCTTGCATTTACCAACATTCTCCCTGTTTCCAAAAGTAAACAAGGAAATGGTTATATTGCTCAGTCAATAGGAATAAAGCAGGCAATGA